TTCATATTCTTCGTCTTACCAACAAAAGATGGGAATGTGAACAATTGCGGGCAATTTTTAGCCATTTTGGCTTGGAACTAGAGCCTGCGAGGTACATGGATAGTATCAGTACCTCACAGGCTCTAGTTCTCTATATGGCGCCGAGAAATTTTGGTGAAATGTGGTCGCATTTCACCAAAATTTTTTCGGCGCCATAGGATGAATTGGAGGGTGAGAGATATTATTTCATACAATACTACTCTCACCCTCCAATTCCCAGCCAAAATGGCTAAAAATTGCCCGCAATGTGAACAATTGCGGGCAATTTTTTAGCCATTTTGGCTTGGAACTAGAGCCTGCGAGGTACATGGATAGTATCAGTACCTCACAGGCTCTAGTTCTCTATATGGCGCCGAGAAATTTTGGTGAAATGTGGTCGCATTTCACCAAAATTTTTTCGGCGCCATAGGATGAATTGGAGGGTGAGAGATATTATTTCATACAATACTACTCTCACCCTCCAATTCCCAGCCAAAATGGCTAAAAATTGCCCGCAATGTGAACAATTGCGGGCAATTTTTAGCCATTTTGGCTTGGAACTAGAGCCTGCGAGGTACATGGATAGTATCAGTACCTCACAGGCTCTAGTTCTCTATATGGCGCCGAGAAATTTTGGTGAAATGTGGTCGCATTTCACCAAAATTTTTCGGCGCCATAGGATGAATTGGAGGGTGAGATATATTATTTCATACAATACTACTCTCACCCTCCAATTCCCAGCCAAAATGGCTAAAAATTGCCCGCAATGTGAACAATTGCGGGCAATTTTTAGCCATTTTGGCTTGGAACTAGAGCCTGCGAGGTACATGGATAGTATCAGTACCTCACAGGCTCTAGTTCTCTATATGGCGCCGAGAAATTTTGGTGAAAATGTGGTCGCATTTCACCAAAATTTTTTTCGGCGCCATAGGATGAATTGGAGGGTGAGAGATATTATTTCATACAATACTACTCTCACCCTCCAATTCCCAGCCAAAATGGCTAAAAATTGCCCGCAATGTGAACAATTGCGGGCAATTTTTAGCCATTTTGGCTTGGAACTAGAGCCTGCGAGGTACATGGATAGTATCAGTACCTCACAGGCTCTAGTTCTCTATATGGCGCCGAGAAATTTTGGTGAAATGTGGTCGCATTTCACCAAAATTTTTTCGGCGCCATAGGATGAATTGGAGGGTGAGAGATATTATTTCATACAATACTACTCTCACCCTCAATTTTAATTACTTAAACTCATTCTATTTTTTTGACATGTAAATGTCACTTTTACTGAGATCTGACACAATGTCAGATCTCTTTTTTTCGTATATAAGAACATTTCATTTGGTACTGTCCATTTGAGTTTTCTTAAATATTCATCCATTCTCAGTTCATTGTCTGCAAAGTAAGTTTTTATGACATTTTGCAAACTTTCGTTTGCAAGGTCATGTACAATAGGTTCTCTTCCTTCTCTCTCCCTAACTGTCTTTCTAAACTCTTCACCAAATATACCATCTCTATGGTTCTGTGTAGTTCTTTGAGATAAATGTTCTAGAACGTCAGGTGTTATATTTCCATCAGCCATGTTCATTTCATACTGGTCCAAAATATCTGCATCTTTCATATCTTTCAATGGCATTAAAGCCGCGCTGAAAATACCAGCTATATCTGGTTCACCATTCACTTCCATTGCGTCTACAACTTCTTGGAATTGAGGTTGTAAGTTTATGAACCACCTATCCGGATTAGCTTTATGACCCCATCTCATTGTAGTTCCATAGTCTGCAGAAACAAAAGTAGGTTTGTTTCCATATTGGTTAGGTTCTGAATGAACTTTAAACAATGTTTCATTTCTATATGTTTTGTTGAAATTTAACCTTTTATTTTCACCGAGTTCAGCCAAAGATTGAACGTTATATGGTCGTAAGTAAAAAGGGTTATTGTATTTGCGTACATTTTCTTTCAGTACTTCCATTCTATGCTGAATATTTTCATCTGGTGTTGGAGTCTTTTGTATGTCGGCAAACATTTTTCGATATTCTTCTACCATGTCAGCCGAATTTTTCTTAGACTCTTGGAAAGATTCCATATTCACCTCATACTCTTGTTGAGGGTCAAGATTTTTCGGCTGTTCCAAATCTTCAGCTAGTTCTGTGAAGTTAGTTTCCAAAGGAGGGACTTGTTCGTTTCCTTCAGGCTCTTCTAGCTGTTGTTGCTGAACTATTTCTTCCATGTCTGGTTGTATCTGAACTTCTTCCTGTTGAGTTTCTTGTACCTCATCTGCTGGCATTTCATATATTCCGAGACCGTTTTCAACAAGTTCCCGATTTAAGTCATCCGCATTCATAAACCTTTCTTCTTTCGTTCCGTCTCTATTTTTTACGCGTTTCATGAAGAGAGTTGAATTATCATTTATCTCTGACATAAAATATCTCGGAGTAAATTCAGTCATGTCATTTGGATGATATGCTATTAAATCATATCCCTTAGCGAGCTTGTATTTTCCAGGTTTGAAATTATATCCCATTTGGTGCTGAACCATAAAGCTAAATAGGTTCGGGTCAGTATTTCCTTCCTTGAACTTTCTAATAGCTTCTTTATATCTGTCACTAAAGTCAAGAGTATCTGGGTAACCATAATCTTCCTTAAGCATTTTTAAGAATTCTTGGTTTCCTTTTTCTCTACTTCTTTTATGTCCTTGCTCTGTTTGTGGTTGTTGTTGTGCAGGGTTTTGAACTGTTGGTTGCTGTGCTGGTTGTGGAGGTGGTTGTTGTGCTGGATTTTGAACTGTTGGTTGCTGTGCAGGGTTTTGAACTGTTGGTTGCTGTGCTGGATTTTGAACTGTTGGTTTTGGTTGTTGTTGTGGTGCTGGATTTTGAACTGTTTGTTTTGGTTGTTGTTGTGGTGCATGCCTGTGTCTGTGTCCATGTGACGATGTAAATGTTTTAGGTAGTCCTGGTGCAGGTGCTTCTCTTGGAGGGTTTGGTGGTATATAAGTTCCACCAGCTGGCACATATGTTCCATCTGCAGCATAATGTCCTACCTGACTTTTCGTTCTTAAGAAAGCATTTACTAGGTCTGTTTTGGTCTGTTGTAACCCTTTTTCTTGACTTTCCACAACAGTTGCTCTAACGGCGTCATAGGCACTTTGAACTGCCTGTCTCGTTGCTGCATCTGTTATTTTCGTCATATTTTGTGCTACTTCTCTTAACTCTTTGTCGAAACCTTCAGACTTCAGTTTCTTTCCAGATGAGAAGTCGTTCACTAGTTTCACCTTACTATGAAGAGCTTCGAAGGCATTCATAAAGTCAGCATTCATTAAAGCTTCATTTGAACTGTCTTCATCCGCTTGTATTTTTGTCCTTATTGACCCTATAAGTTGGGCTGCTTTAGCGTTGGCTTGGGCATCTAACCAGTCATTATTAGCTTTTATAATATCTGCGCTTTTCATTGCCTTTTGCATGGCTGCGTCGTTATTTTTACTTTCTTGTGCTAAGTTTTCATACTGTACGGTTTGGTTTTGCAACTGTAAAAGTTTTTCTGCCTTTACATTTGCTTCAACTTCTTTTTTATACTCATCGCTATCCATATATGTCTTCATGGCTTTTTGTTTTATCTCTTCATCTTTCAGTACTTTATATTGAGTAGTATGGTTTTTTCAAATTTATAACATCTTGTTCCATTTTTGCTACTTCTGCTGCTTTTTCTGACACTTTTTTTCGCATATTCCTCTGTACTTAGTTCTTTCAGTTGTTCTTCTTTCTTCTTTTTCTCTACGTTTAACTCATTTAGTTTCTTTGTCTGTCTGTCATATTCTAGTTTCTTTTCGTTTTCACTTATTTGTTTCTGTATGTCTATGTTTGACTTTTTGACATCTGTTATTTGATTTTTGAGTGAACTCAAATTCATTTGACTTTGAGGGTTATAAGCTGTTCCGTCTGCAGCTCCACCATAGCCTGCCATTTTCGCTAAAAGTGCCGCTCTTAAACCTCCACTCTGTGCACCAATAACTCGGTTTAAAAGCATAGGATTGCTTGACATTTGTTGCAACATAGTGGGGTCATTCATAATTTGTTGTTGCAACTGTTGTTGTGGTGTCAGTTTTACTATTGGATTGTTTCAATGCTCTCTTCCTCTTACGTATATTCTTACGTAGCTTACGTGGCATTTTAAGTGAAGTTAAAAAGCGGTTTTTGACAGATGTTTATATGACACTTTTTGTTCAGCACAAAAAACTACTCGGTCAAAGTGTTGTCAGTTTTGTAAAATAACCGTCCTATCTCATTCTATAAGGGGAAAAAGGCTTCTCAAAGTATACTTCCTTGGAACGCCTGTAACTTTTCCTGTAGCGACGATAGACCCTTACTTGTCCGGACAAAGTTATACTATTTTGAGTGCTCTACAAAAAAGTCAACGGCTGGTCGGCTGGGGTTCGGTTCTCCTCTTGGGTCTTGGGCAAAATTTCTTATGGGCTAGAGGGCGCAACGCGCCTGGAAGCCCTCCGAATATAAACTTCATTTATACTAAACATCTTCAGGGCTAGAGGGCGCAACGCGCCTGGAAGCCCCACTACCTTTTTTTTTTTTTTTTTTTTTTTTGACTATAAGTTAACGAAGCTGTGTAATAAAATAACCTACATTTTTTTGTGAGTAAAAAATAAAACTGCCAAAATTCGAGTAAATAATTTTTTATGAGCAGAGTTAATAGTCGATAAAATCTCTTAAAATCAATAATCTATTGAATTTTTTTCTGTGAACAAAAACCCATGGATTATTATTAATTAAAATATATTTTGCTCATGAATTTTTTTATTTATATTTTCCTGAACACAATTCAAATCTCACAAATTTGAAAAATCAAAATTCGAGACCAAAGAAACTTATTGTTTATCAAGGTATGAGATATTTATCAAATTTAACACTAATTTTTGTTGACAGTACAGAATTTTGAATGATCACACTGAATTTTCCTTGCAAAAAATATTCATGATATCCAGAAGCATCATTGATGCTTTTGTGCCTCTTTTTATCAGGAACACTGAACCCGAAACAATTGGTAGAGGAAAGTTAGCTATCCCTAAACTGAAAAAGATCGATTTAGAGCATTTATTGAATAGCGTTATGATTTTATTCAAACAGGAAGACACATTGCTCAATCTCGAAGGAGACTTCAATGTTGTCGGAGATATTCACGGCAATTTACGCGATTTAATCCGAATTTTCAACTATTGTGGATCCCCAAGTTCCAACAAATTCATCTTTTTAGGCGACTACGTTGACAGAGGAGACATGTCAATAGAAGTTGTTGTCTTGCTCTTTGCCTTTAAGCTTGCTTATCCAAATAATATCTATTTAATTCGTGGCAACCACGAGTTTGAGATCATTAACACATATTATGGATTCCATCAACAAGTTTTATCTTCATATGACGATGATATGTACGATTTATTTAACGAAGTTTTTTCGTATTTACCACTTGGAGCTGTTGTCAATCAAAAATATCTCCTTGTTCATGGTGGTATTAGTCCATACCTTAAGTCTATTGACCAAATTGCAAACATTAAACGTCCAATTACCGATTTTATCGAAGGACCTGACGCAAATTTGATAACTGACATAATGTGGAGTGATCCATCGAGGATTTACAGTCTTTTTCATCCAAGCCCACGTGGATTTGGCTATGTTTACGGCCACGACGCAATGAATGACTTTTTACGTCAAAATATTGTTAAATATGTTGTTCGTGCTCACCAATGCGTTACAAACGGATACGAAGAAAACTTTGGTGGATCTGTGATCACGGTTTTCTCTTCCAGCAATTATTGCACGATGCCCGCAAACTCAAGCAGTATCCTTGAAATTCATCCCGAAGAACCCCATAGAGCATCAGTGTTTCCACCAATAAAACACCTTAGAAAGTTCGAATGCGATTTCAAAATTGTTGATTGTATTGATACAATTCCTCTTTGTAAGAAACTCAATCCAAACACAAAACACAATAGTATGAGGAATTGGCAAATGAGCAAGAGACCTATCCTGTCAACAGCCTTCCCACCAAAGTCTCTCAGACCTGATGATTCAAGATTACTTTCACCATACAACTCTATTGGTGAAATACCAAAGATTACGATAATACCATCTCCTCAAATTAAGAAGTGCATTTCAATACCTTCGGAGTTACATCTTGACTAGGAATTTTTTGTTTGAAATTAAAAATTATCTATTCATGATTTCGTAAAAGGCATATCTTTTTTTTTCATTCTTAATTAGATGCAATATTAAAAGATGAATTTAAATTAATATTTTATTATAAGGGCATTTTATTGAGTATAATTGTAAAGCTTTCCTAGCTCAACAGGATAGAGCTTTGGACTTTTAATCCAAGGGTTTGGGGTTCGAGTCCCCAGGATAGCGTTTTTTATTTTTTACTCTGAAACCCACATTCACGAAGAGTATTTGTTTTAATGAACTTAAATAGTAAAACCGTTATTTCACAACCTTTAACATAGGCCTGTATTACAAGTATGATATTGTTTTTATATTTTCTTAGATAAAATTGGTGTAATGATTAATTCGATGATTCACTTTGAAACAGATAACAATATATTGCATTTACAAAACTTATTATGATTTCTCTTCTGGTAATTTATCAAGCTGTAATTGGAATGATAGTAATCAGGCCAAAATAAGTCATATATCTACTACAATCTTATGTATAGTGAAAATCGAGTTCTATGGTCTGTATTTTAAACTTTTGAGATCGTCAACATCCAAATTTGAAGTTTTTTGTTCTAGATATTGCACTTTAATATGTTACTTAGATGCATTTTGATGAGCGATATGTAGACTAACGATTAAGTTCCGGTTGATTTATTTTAATTAAATCTCTTTTAAAAAAGTTAATTTCCGACCGGAAGAGGTTATAGATACAATATATACAATTGATACATATTCCATTCTATATCAAACATAAACCAGTGTTGAGTTTGGGCATCGCTCAAACCGCTCAAGTAATCAAATGTACGATCGGAAATATTGAGGGAAATGGTATCACAAAATGCTTGCAATCGCGAAAGATCTTGATATTCGATTGCACTCTATATGGGCTTTCAAGATACAATAAAGATCATATAATTGGCCATTGATCATAATCGGCTTAAAATTTTGTATCGCTCATCAAATTCGATTATTTATGATGATAGCTGAAATATGCAAAAAGGCTCGAAACAAAAATGAATTCAATTTTAGTATCTTATCTCTGAAAAAATAATTCTCATTCAATTTTGGCATTTCAATATAAAAATAAAGAAAATTTTTAATAAAATTTTTTTGGGCTTCAATCACTTCATTTTTATAAATGAGCGCAGGAATCATCCACTTCAATGGTAACCTTCAAGACCTCAAGAATGAGATCAGACAAGCTAAGGGACTTGTCGTTGTCGACTTCTTTGCTACATGGTGCGGCCCTTGCCAGCGTTTAGGCCAAATCCTCCCAACTATTGCTGAAGCTAACAAGGATGTTACATTCATCAAGGTCGATGTTGATCAGAACGGCCCAGTTGCTGAACAATTCGGAGTTTCATCAATCCCACAGATCAATTTTGTCAAGCCAGAAGGCGAAGACTACAAGGTTCTTGATACAATCATCGGTGCCGATGTCGCAAAGATCAAGGCTAACATCGAAAAGTTCAAATAAAAAATTGATTGCTATACTTTATTTAAATTATTATTTTTTTTTACTTAACAATGAGTCTGAAAATTTAATAAGATAGATTGAAAGTTATTGGAATACTCTTCCAAATTTCAATAATAAATGTTTGAAAATCTAGAGAAAAAACAAAGACTAAACTAAATTAGGGGCCTTGGATACTTTACAAAAGAAGACATTAAAGAATGCTTGATAGAAGTACTTTGAATTCTAATGATGCTTTCGATGATTAAAAAAAATGGGTGAACCGTGAATCGAACACGGATCTATTGAGCCACAATCAACAATACTAACCATTATACCATTCACCCCGCTGAAAAATTAAGAAATATTATATTAATGATAGATAGTAATCTTTCCATTACAACTTTTCACTTATACAATGAATTTTACTAGTTTATCCAAATTTCAATAAGTTAGATACTTGATTACTTCCAGTAAAATCACTCATTGGCATCGTATCTAGTTCAATTTTATTTGTTTCTTATAGGAATAAAAATGTTATTCAATTTTTATAAGAATTTCCGATATATTTCACAAAGTTCCATACTAAATTACAGTAGGATCAACAAGGTACCACCAAAAGTGAATTACTTTTTATGTGGTCATTAATTGAAATCATTGATTGAAAAATCTATTGAATTTAGTAAAAAAAATCGAATTATTGTATTAATTCCTGGTTCATATTTCATATTTTTTCTATAAAAAACGGATTTAATTGTTCAATGAAACATCTCAAAAGTCATATATGGCCATTTTCCATTTTATTTTGATAAATTATATATTGAACGAGAATTGTCTAATGGACATTTTAGGATTTTTAAACATTTGTGATATCCCCTCAAAACTTGGTAATTTTGTGATAAGTATATTAATTGAAAACTGAAGTTAACGTGCTTCATCGATTTATATGAAAGAATAGAATATAGCATCCAATTCCCAAATATTGATTTTAAAAATTTTATGAAGGAATTTAAATTCAATTTTTCTTACAAATCATTTTACTATTTATTACTATTTATTACTATATTAAATTTGTACTTTATATAAAAAATCAATAGCATTGAAAATAAGTATTCACACATTTATTTTCTGTAAGATACGTTATATATCGAAAATCTGAATATACATATAATTAGATAATAAACTCCATTTCAACAAGAATTCTTTCTTCTCAAAAGTAAATTGTAATGAATTTTTTTATCAAATTTAATATAAAGTACTCACAAAATCTAGATTGAGAGGCCGTCAATGACTTTTGAGGGGAAATTAACGCATGGAATTTAATATTATTTAGGTTCATATTCTTGCTTATTATTTCAGAAAAAAATCTTAAAAATTTCAATATGAAAATTGAAAGCAATTCAAAAAAATTGCTAACATGTAAATTTTAATATCCTATGCATAATTTCATATTTCGAACATTTTTTATTTTTGTTTAAAACTTAAAATTTTGCGAATTTAATATAATTTATAAAATAGAATACGTATATATATTTAAAAGACACTAAATTTAATTGTTAATTGACGTTTTTGGGAATGAATTTTATCAAAACATGCCTGAATCCGAAAATTTGAAAGAACGAATTACACAATCATATATGTAGAATTCAAAATACAAACTTAAAGATTGTATACGTTTAAAATTATTCAGATTGTGTTTGATTTCCACTCATTCTGTTTCTTTTGAACTCTAACACTAACATTTCATGATGATTACATGATCCATTTATACATGGTTGAATTGTTCCAGATTCTACCAGAAAATCAATCCAAATTTCTCAATGCATTCATGTTGATTGGACAAAATTTAAAATTTATCAGCCTGTTTCCAGAGAAACTCATATATTCCCTAATGAAATGTAATTTTTGCTACATTTATTTCAATCAAATTTCAAAAAATTGACTGCAGAGCTTGAAAAGGTGATGAATCATGTTGTTATTAGATGTACATATTAGATTTACTATTTCCAAAAAATGCTCAAATTTGAATAGTTTTTAGAAAATTTGGAATTACACTCCTTACATTATATATAATTAAATGTTTAAATTTTATTTATTTTTCCCTTTTAATTTTATAACGTGCTCTATCAAAACTAACCTCTCAATTGAAGGCCACAAAATCTAAGTAGTGAGGGTACACAAATTTTGTATGGAGTACGGTTCAATTTTTGAGAGCCTCACTACTTAGATTTTGTGACTACCTTATTTCAATTATACTAGAATTTATCAATTCTGATATAGAATATTGGCTATATACTATTATTCTCAATTAAAAGTTTGGGTTCGCATAAATTTTCAATTTCGATCTAAATTCATTCTCTTCCTATATACAACCACTTTTTAAATTTATCAAAAATTTTTCTCTGAAAGATTTCAATGTATGGTATTGAAAGTTTACAGTCCATTCAAATTCATTTGAGAAAAACCTTAACCATAAATCAAAATGGGTAGAGATCGAGGTAACTTCATCAAAAGAAACCTAAAGCTCAAGCGCAAATTTACTGAGGACGAAGACCAGCTTATACTAAGCATGTACGTTCAACAAGGCATCCACGATTGGAAAAAAATCGCCAAAAAATTATATAAAAGAACAGCAAGGCAATGCAGAGAACGCTATAATCATTATCTAGCTAATGAACCTAAGCAAGACGAATGGACTTCAGAAGAAGACAGCATACTTTTGAATCAATACAACATTTACGGCCCTAAGTGGACTCTTATTTCGAAAGAACTTCCAGGAAGAACATCAATTAACGCAAAGAATCGATATGCCCTACTTATGCGTCATAAGAAGAAACAAGATAATCAGAATGAGATGATTGTGATTAAGTCGCAGGAACCAGCAATAACTTGTCCAGATGATATATTGTTTGGAACATTTAATGATGACCCTTTCAGAATTGACATAACTTCCTTTTGATCTATTGACCAAATTTAAATTGCGCATTATAAATGCACTGACCTTTTAATGCTAACATACTCCGGACAAAACAAATTACTATATTACTAAATACAATTAATTTCTTTCATTCATCAAAATATCAAGGTTTAATTTTCAAAAACCTAGATTTTATTCAGTATTTCTTAATTGTTAGGCCTTATTTTAGCATAATTGCGCAGACTTTCTATTATTTTCCTTTAGAGTATTTATAGATTTAGAATAAAAAATCGGACTTTTAAATTTTTCTTTATTTCATTTTAGGGCTGATATATCACTGATATAGTATGCAATGATTGCATCTATCATTACGAATTAACTAAATTTTAAACAAGAGATGTTCGAAATTTTCAGAACTGATCATTTATTGCAATTCTTTTAGAGAATATTATATGAGTGCAGTAGTTAAATACTTTTAAAGCCCAAGAAAAGCTTCTCAATTCAAAACGAAATCTCAATCAAAATCCATTGAAAAATTGAACACAATTATCGGAAACAAATGAATAAGATATAAAATTTTCAATATCAAAATTTCCCAGAAAAGAAAGTTAAAACAATAGGCCAAATAAACGTTGAATAAGTCAAATCTCATTTATCGCATTAGAAATTTAACAATTGAAGAAATTCACCGGAAAATTTAGCAAAAGATAAATAAAATATTCACATATCGGGTATTTAGCATTCGTGTCAAAGAATCTTCGACTCAAATATTGCACAATGGTTTTTGTTTTTTTAGTGCTTGTTGTTCTTATCATATATTATAATCATATATATGCAGGTACTAAATATCTGCTTTATCCTCATTTTATCGTTCATATTGAATTTGTTATTAAATTTTCAAAAATAATTCAAAATCAATATATCTTCATTTTCAACTTATAGAATATAATACTTTTATGAATAAAATAACAATTTATAATACAAGATTAAATTTGTTTTATATTTTTCAAACATTGAAAGCTGCTTGGAGCATTATCATTATAAACATCATTTATCTCGATTGCTATTCCCATATTAACTATTATAATTCAATAAATTTAATTTCATGAATTAGGAAACGCTTCAGTTTTTGAATGGTTTACAAAGATTTTACTTTTGAATTCTAACAAATATTGGGTATTTTGTTGACATATTCATACTTTTGTCCTAACAAAAATGTTAACATACATATTTTTACATATATTTTTCGAATAATCAATTCTAAAACAATCATTGGTAATACTCTCATTTCTTAAAAATACGGGCGTGAATATACACCAATTTTGCCAGATTGTGAGTTATAAAAGCTTTACAAATGTAAACAAATTTGAGAATGCACTTGTCAAAATTCCATATATGAATTATTCGAGAGTTTTTAAAACCTATGAGTTTTGGATAATTATGTTCAATATGGGACGAAGAGGATTCAAAAAAAGTAATAAAAATCGAAATTAATATAAACCGAAAATAAAAACAAAATTTTTATTGTTATATATTAATAATTGCATGCATAGCTAAATTACATCCAAGAGTATTTATTGTTTTCTTTCTGAAAGCTTGTGCATCAGCAATTCCAGTAGAGAAAATAGTTTCGCGCTCGGAATATTTAGATCCGAATACCTTTATTCCGCAAAATATTGAAGGAGCATAAGAATTTGTTACATGAACATTAGTAAAATCCGGAAATGCCTTTGGCATAGAACTAAGATAATGATCTCCGCAATAATACACTATTTTAATACCTGTACCATTAAATGCAGAACTTCCAATTGATGAAACCGAAGAAGGAAGTTTCAGACTATCGTAGATTCCTTTCATTCTTTTCTCAGATGAATCAATAAGACGACAGAATGTGAAAGCAGAGTTACCAATAACTTGCAGTTTTCGAGGAATATAAACAGAAATACATTTGTAGAATGATTCATTTCCTACATGAGTAATTGTGTCAATTCTAGGAAACTCCAATAAAACACAACCTTTGAATGATTTGTCGGATACTGTCTTGATTGCACCAATGATTTTGATATGTGATAAACTCGAACAACCTTCAAAAGAACTTTCTGGAATAACATCTTGAGAAGAACTAATGTTAAGAGCAAATGACTTCAATTTTTCGCAGTTTAAGAAACAACTTGACCCAAAAGAATAAATAGAATCAATATCAATTGACTCAAGATTTGTACAGTTCTTGAAAACATATTTACCAAGTCTCACATCGCAATGAAGGACAAATTTTGTCAGTTTTTTGAATGCAAAAACAGAATCACCAATACTTAAAATTCTAGATGAATCACTAACAGTGAAATCATGAATATCAATGTTAGTAAAAGAATTAGTGTTAATAGAAGTCACTGCCATGTTTGGAGGAATAACAACACGTGTGATATTGGGAGCATTTCCAAATACAGCAGAAGAAATAGTTGTCATTGAATCAGGAACAGTGAAATTGTTCAAACTTATACATCCGATAAATGCATTTGCACCAATAGATGTTAAAGTTGAATGACTTTCAAATTTTAAGTCACGAAGATTTAAACAATTCTCAAATGCATTGTTTGAAATTGTTCTACATGCTGATGTAACTTCAAAAGAGGAAAGTGATTCACATGAAGAGAAACATGATATTCCAATTGATGATATTGAAATCTTCTCAATTAAATTAAGATTTGTACATCCTTTGAAAGCGTAGTTTCCTAAACTTATTGGTGATGATGATTTAAGAGTTCTTGATGAAGAATCCGTATAAAATCTAAGAGATTTAATTGATGTACAGCCTTGAAATGCAGATACACCAATTGTTGTCAAAGAAGATGCCGAAGAAATGAGGATTTCTGAAAGGAGTATACAGTTCTGGAATGAACTTGTACCTATAGTAGTTGTTGTTTTTGGAATCTTTATTGATGTTAAGTTCTTACAACCATTGAATGCATTGTTACCTATTGTTACAAGTCTAGGAGAAAGTCCAAAATCAACTTTCTTTAGAAAATTATCATTTTGGAATGAGTTTGTTCCAATCGTTGTTAAAGTTTGAGGAAGAGATAAAGAAGAAATACTTGTACATCCACTGAATGCATAGTTTCCTATTGAAGTAAGAGTTGCAGATGAAGAGAATGTGATTGAAGAAAGTTTGATACAATTTTGGAAACAATTGTTTCCTATTGTCTTAACTGTATCAGGGAAAGAAAAAGCTGAAATTGAAGAACAACCTGAGAAAGCTGCACTTCCTATATTTGATAATTTTGGTGAAGATGAAAATGTAACAGAAGATAAAGCTAAACAATTCTGGAAACAATTATTTCCTATTGAAGTTACTGAGTTAGGAATTGAAATAGTCTTTAGAGAAGAACAAGAACTTAGTGCATAATTTCCAAGAGAACCAAGTGAACTTGATGAGAAAGATATAGTTGTTAAAGAAGTACAACCACTCATTGCGTTATTTCCAAACAAAATACAGTGAGTTGGAACAGTGAAAGTTGTAAGACTGATACATCCTTCAAATGCGTTGTTTCCAATAGAAGAAATATCTGTGACAGAGAAATCGGAAAGTGATGCGCAATTCTTGAATGCACTGTCTTCTATCTTAACAAGATTGTTTAAATGAAAAGATGCTAAAGATCTTCCTTCAAATGCAGAACTCTCAATGATTTCAACTGTTGTACCTGCACCAATAATAAGTTCTCTGAGAGGAAATGTGGAGAAAGCATTACTTCCTATTTTATGTATTCTTAAATTTTCTTCTATAAAAACTCTACTGATATTTGGTGCTGATCCAAAGCATTCTGAAGTGATGTTCACAAAAATATCAGGAACATAATAATCATTGAGGGATAAACATCCAGCAAAAGCTCCTTCTCCAAATGATGCAATTTGAGAGTTCAATTCATATGTTATTGAACTCAATGATGTACAATTCTCGAAAGCATATGCACCAATGGTTGTGCAGTTTGCTGGGATAATAATAGATGATAAATTATAGCAACAACTAAATTCATGTTCACCAATTATTGTCAAAGCACAGAACTTTCCAAATGCAACTGTTGTCAATGATATACAGCCAGCAAAAATGGAATCTGCATCAAGATTTACAGCACAATTATCAGGGAATGTTATAACTTGTAAATTAACACATCCTTCGAATGAACCTCTTTGAACAACTTGTAATGAAGTTGGTAAATCAACTCTTACAAGTGCTGTGCAGCCACCAAATGTTCCTTCTTCCATCACTTCAAGACGGCATCCTGGTTCGAAAATAATTGTTTCAAGAAGACTGCATCCATAAAATGCGTTTGAACCAATGACTATGATTGTCTTCTTGATTGTTGCAACACTGAGTCCTGCAGGGCAAATGATTAGTTTTTCACCTGATTTAGAGTAAACAATTCCTTGTTGAGATTGATAATATTCATTATCACTGGGAATATCAATTGATTGCAACTTTGTACATCCAATGAATGTTGTTGGAGATAAATTATCAATTGAAGAAGGAAGTTGTACTCTTACTAAGTTCAAACACTCTCTAAATGATGAAATACCAAAAGAAGAAATATTCATTCCTTCTTCGAAAATTAATACTTCAATGTTCTTGCACCCATGAAACAACCTTGTCCCATTGTTTTTAGTGACTTTGGTAAAGTTAATGTTGTAATGTTTGCATTTAGAAATACAGTGTATTGTAGTTCAATAAGTGATGAATTTACAGCAAATCCTAAGGTCGTCAATGTTTTAATATTATAAAATGCATTGTATTCACTCCATCTGACATTTCTTGGTATTCTTACAGTGACCAATTTTGTTTGATAAAACGCTAAATATCTAATCCTTTGCAACGGATAGTCAGGATGGAATTCAGCAGATGTAAGTCCAATATTACTAAATGCTTCATGATCTAATGTTTTTAATTTACTACTAAAAACGATTGATGTGAGTTTTGTTGATGCAAATGCTAGATAGCCAATGTATTCTACTAAATCACCAAGAAATGTAATATTAGTTAAAGCTGTGCATCCAAAAAAGCAGTTGCTATTTATTGTCTTGCATTTTGCAGGTATAATAATCTTTGTGAATCTGTTTGCATTCATAAAAGAATTGTAGTTTAATGTGACAACGTTTGGTCCCAAATTAATTGTTGTGAGTTTTATGCAACCAGCGAAACAATAAATTCCGATTTCAGTTACAGTTGCTAAAACATTTGCAGTAACTAAACCTCCAACTGCAGCAATTGCTTTTGTTTTACCAATATTGTATAAAATACCGCCTTCTGCATAGAAATATTTATTCCCTGTTTCAACAGTTAATGTTGTTAGTTTATCACATCCTTGTAAAACAGATAAACCAATTGACGACATTTTAGCAGTAATTGTAAGTGAAGTAATTGTTGAAACAATGTAAATGGTTTGTGAACCATCAATTGATTGCAATAATGAATTACTTGCTAATGTATAGTTTTGGTTATCTGGATCTAATGTCATTGTAGTAATTTCTTGGCAGTTTGCAAATGTTTCAGGGTATAATTTTTCTATTGAAGCTGGCAAAGAAATATTCTTCAGTTTTGTCTGTGAATTGAATGCATTTTGTTTTATTTCTTTGCATTTTGAAGGAATAATTATTGAAGTAAACACACAATATGCAAAAGCATTACCTTCAATTAGTTCTAATTGGCTTCCTTCTTCAAAAGTTATCGATGTCATTTGTGATGCTCTCCAGAAACAGCCATCTCTAAAATATTTTACTGATTTTGGAATTACTATACTTTTGATGTTCGCATAAGCCATGCAAGTAAAGTTTTCTAATATAATTCCTGACTCAAATGTAATCGAAGTAACTCTTGAATACATAATTAATCTTGGCAATATTACTGATACTGTATTTGGTATTGAAATCGAATATATCTTTTGTAATCCATGCATTGATTCATCCAAAAGTGTTGTAACAGTTCTTGGAATTACATATTCAGTATTTTGTGGTGGAACTTTATAAAGAATAGTCATGTCTTTAGAATAGATTGCACCGTATCTATCCCTTGCAAAATATTGATTGTTCTCACTTAAATATATGTTGTCGATTGCGTAATCATATCGGAAAGCGCTCGGTTTAAAATTTGTGACAGATGCCGATTGTAACATCCACAAGAGTGGAAAATGACTGAAATGCATATGTATCAATAGTATCAGGACCATCATCGTCAATAATAATTGTTTGAATTGCAGTTTTATCAACCGCTGTCGAGATAGCTGCATTTGTAACGCTTCCAGATCCTGATATGAATAGAGTTGTGCCTCTAACATCATAATCAACGGCTTGAATATGACTTGCAAAGAAGAGAAACATAAATGTCACATATTGTATAGAATTAAATCATTTCTGAAAAAAATCGGATGAAAAATTATATCCTAACAGAGATATACAATATATCATCATTCGTATTTGAACACATTCAGAAAATTGTGTGTTTTCAAACCATTTGAATTCAGCACCTTAACGATTTGAATCAAAAAACATGAACATCATAAAGTACATAAGATAACAAGGCTAATTTTGATGAATAAGATTTAACGATGGAAAAAGTTTTAATTGATAATATTAGATGCTTATACGCTGGATCATTTATTGTACCCATGTATCGGATGAATGTAAAAAGTTTCAGAAAAAGAGGATTATATTCAATGTATCTTTCAATTTTCATAGGAATACATAAATTTCGGTGGTTCGAATAAGATTGCAAAAATGATGTTCTTACTATTGCAAACTATTTTTATTCTAAATTTTTTCGAAATTCAGTTTCGAATCTGAATATTCACTACTATCAGCTATCAAATATAAGCATTTGTAGGAAAAATTAACTAACATAGAGAATATGTTTATTTGCAAATAAGAATAAAGAATAGAAATTCAAAATTACTGTGGATGAAATAATTTTTATTGCACGATTGCCAAATAGAATATTTGTCCTGAATAACTTTTATCCAGAGACTTACAACGCCAACTTTAGCATCATTCGAAGGAATTTTATTCTTAATAAAATGCGTTGGCTCTCCAACGTATCCAATAGTAAAATACCAATCTGCTCCTCCAGGACAGCCATCAATTAAGCTTCCTGAATGACTCAGAGTAAGTCCACCCCAAACACAAGCAGAATCATTTCGATCTGCTAAAATCGTAATGTTGTTGTAGCCTTCGACTTTGTAATGGTTATTAGTGGTCCATTTCTTTCGTTCATTGAGAGGGCTGTTGCTTTGTTGCCAGATGTTGTAAAGATTTAATTCTGGATAGAAAAGAGCAAACGTGAATTTTCTGTCATTATCTCGAAATTCGTCATTAATCTCATTAAGGATAGAGTATTTATATTGAGAATTTATATATTTCGCTTGATCTTTGTTTGAGAAAACTCCACCAAGCATATTGTGATAGAATACTTTCATGTATATGTTCCTTCCAATATACATGAGTTCTCGATTCCCAATTTTGAATGTTTTGAATCCTAACAATACCAATAATCAAATTTCATATAAAAATGATCGGAAAAATCTGACAAAAATTTTATCATTTCGGAGTAATTAACTTCAATTTTTTAAATAGAAATCAATATATCTTATGTTTTTATTCGCAAAGGAAGAGAATGATAAAAGATAAATATTCCAAATGGTTATTATTGAAGTATTTGCACATGCATGACTGAATGATAGTGTATTTATCGTTAATGACTTTCACCCACATACTTACAACATTAACTGGACTATCGTTTGAAGGAATTTTATCAGTAACAGAAAACCATGGTCTTCCGACGTATCCAATAGTGAAGTACCAGTCTTCACCTCCGGGGCAACCGTCAATTAAGTTCTCTGTGTGACTCAAAACAAGTCCACCCCAGTTGCATTTTTCATGCTTTCGATCTGCTAAAGTTGTAAAGTTTCTATACCCTTGGACTTTATAATAATTGTTAGTGGTCCATTTCTTCGGTTCGTTAAGAGGGTTATTACTTTGCTGCCAAATATTGTACAATTTGAGTTCAGGATAGAAAAGAGCGAATGTGAATTTTCTATCATTGTCTCGAAATTCGTCATTAATTTCATTTAAAATGGAATATTTATATTTCGTGTTGATGTTTTTGGCTTCTGTTTTGTTTGAGAAAACTCCACCAAGCATATTGTGATAGAATACTTTCATGTATATACTTCTTCCTATATACATGAGTTCTCGATTCCCAATTTTGAATGTTTTGAATCCTAGCAACTAAAAGATGAAAAAAATCATGAAATGATCGGGAAAATCTGACAAAAATGTATTCATTTCGGAATTACAACGATTTTTTCAATGTGATCCGATATAGTTTACAACATTTTATGAAAATAATTTATGGATAGTGAATTTTTATTCCGATATCAATACAAACATAAAATATCCAAAATTCTTTGAATTAAAATATTTACACATACAGGACTGTAAAAGTTTGAATTTGTCATCAATCACCTTCACCCAAAGACTTGTGATATTAACTGGTAGATTATTCGAAGGAATTTTATCATTAATCGTGCCCCAGTACGTTCCGACGTAGCCAATAGTGAAATACCAGTCTTTACCTCCAGGACAGCTGTCAATCAAGTTATCTGTGTGACTCAGAGTCAGCCCGCCCCAGACGCACAAAGAATTGTTTCGATCTGCAAAAATTGTAATGTTTTGATAGCCAGCAACCTTGTAAAAAACGTTATTAGATTGTTTCTTAGTTTCGTAAAGAGGATTGTTAGTTTGTTGCCAAATATTATACAAATTAATTTCTGGATAAATGAGAGCAAATGTAAATTTATGATCAAAGTAAGGATGTCAATTTGGAAGAAAAGTGAGAAAATTCCTAAAATGCTAAAAATGAATTTTCCAAACGTATTTTTTTATCTCATTTTTTTGATTTTGAAAAAAATTTGGAGAGAAGAACTCTTCGTTTTTGAATTTTATCACGATGGTTTTAAAGTATATTAGACACATGTATTGGTATTACTATTTTTGTATACTTTGAGAGAAAATCCCTAAAAAGTGAGAAAATCTAAGACGGTTTGAGAAAATATATAAACTATTGAAAATTTGAATTAAACTTCTAATTTGGAAAAAAGAAATTTGGAAAGAAGAAAATTCAAAAATCGAGATTTAGACTCAGCATCAAATGGAGAACAAAATGTTTCTTCATATGAAGGAAAAAAATTTTCTTGTGAAGAAATAGAGTTTTTAAAATTTTATTGTATGTAATGAAATAAACAAATATTAAAATTATTTTTTGATAACAAGAAAATTCCCAATAGAAAATATTTGAGAGAAAGAAAAAAAGAAAATTGAAAAATATTACTCTCCTTTATATTTCATGATATTTTAAATTTATTCTCATAAAATTAACAAATATCTTAAATATCTGGATCACTCACATATACAATGAATTGAACGATAAAAATAATACAAACTCAACTAAGTTTCCTGTCTTTCAACTAAAAAAAATTATGCAAATTAAATTAAATTGTTTATTCAAATATAAAACAAAGATGAAGTAATTACAGTTATCATAAACTTTATGAATAACTCTGTAATTGGTTCAGATTTTCGTAAAAATATTTTTATTAATATCGATAAGAATACGTTTACCTACTATCACAACATATCGATAAACAAGAGTAGAGTGATTTTTATCATCGAAACTTTTTAAAAGCTGTAAGCAGGAAGTAATAATCTTGTTTTTTCTGAGTTAGTTGTAGAACTATTGATGCACGAGTTATCATTGTGATGTAGAAGGATGTCGATGTACTGACTGAAGGATATGAAGTGAATTGAATTTCATTGCATTTCAATTTGATCAAAATTTGTTGAAATGATATGAATGTGTCAACATCTGTATCACTCTCTTTCACTCCTTCCCTATTCTTTCGAGAACGAAGCTAGCTCAGCTTTCGCTGAGCGAATTGACACTTTTGATGTCCTAAACGTACATACTCTCAAATTTATCGAAAAAAATTATACCACCTAAACTAGTATATTCTTATTTTAAATATGATATTATCCTTAGAATCCACACTAGAATATATTTAAATCAACTTTTAAAAAAGTTCGAATCCTGCGCGTCTCACTTTTTAAATTTTCCAAAAGGAAAATTATATTCTCCTAAAATGAAAACAATTTTCCGAATTGACATCCTTAATCAAAGTCTCGGAATTCATCATCAATCTCGGTTAGAATGGAATATTTGTATTTCGAGTTGATGTTTTTGGCTTCTGTTTTGTTGGCAAAAACTCCACCAAGCATATTGTGGTAGAAGACCTTCATGTATATGTTCCTTCCAATATACATGAGTTCTCGATTTCCAATTTTGAATGTTTTGAATTCGAGCGATTGATATCATAAAAATTTCATGAAAAATGATCGGAAAATTTTGACAAAGATTTCATTTCAAAAGCAGATAGCTAGTAGTATTACTAATATATATTTTTCATTCTAAAATCATGATAAACGCAAGAATTACAAAATTCAGTTTATTGGAATAGTCTACAATACATGATTGTAAAATATTGTATTTGTTTTCGATTACCTTCACCCAGAGGCTCACTATATTGACTTTTGAATCGTTTGAAGGAATTTTATCGGTAGTTTCCCATTCTTGTCCAACGTATCCAATGGTAAAAAACCAGTCGTAGCCTCCAGGACATCCATCAATTAAATTATCTGAATGGTTCAAAGTAAGTCCGCCCCAGACACAAGCAGTAGAATTTCGATCTGCTAAAATTGTAATGTTGTTATAGCCTTCAACTTTGTAATGATTGTTATCGCTCCACTTCTTATTTTCGAGGAGTGGATTATTAGTTTGTTGCCAAATGTTGTACAAATTTAACTCGGGATTTAAGAGAGCAAACGTAAATTTATTGTCATAATCTCGAAAGTCATCGTTGATCTCAGTGAGAATAGAATATTTGTATTTAGTGTTGATGTTTTTAGCTTCTGTTTTGTTGGCGAAAACTCCGCCAAGAAGATTGTGGTAGAATACTTTCATGTATATACTTCTTCCAACATACATGAGTTCTCGATCACCAACTTTGAATGTTTTGAATCCTAACAATGATGATGCTCAATTTTCATAAAAAATGATCGGAAAAAATTGACAAAAAAAATTAATCAATGGGGAAAATTCATTCAAGTTTTAAGTTATCGGCATTCAAGGCAATGAATTAAACTAAAGTATTCGTTTATTCGTACATAAGAATAAATACAAGATATTCAAAGTTCATTTTATTGAAATAGTTGATTTTGCAAGTTTGCATAACCTGGTATTTATCATCGATCACCTTTACCCATAGACTCACAATACTAACACCTAAATCGTTTGACGGGATATATGGGGCTGAACTCCAATCTTTTCCAACGTATCCAATAGTAAAGAACCATGTACTGCCTCCAGGACATCCATCTATTAGATTATTTGTATGACTAAGAGTAAGCCCACCCCATACACAAGAATAATGTTTTCGATCTGCTAAAATCGTAATGTTTTTGTAACCATCAACTTTATAATGGGTCTCATTATACCATTTCTTGATTTCATTAAGAGGATTATTAGTTTGTTGCCAAATGTTGTACAAGTTGAGTTCAGGATAAACAAGTGCAAATGTGAATTTATTGTCGTAGTCGCGGAATTCGTCGTCAATCTCGGTTAAGATAGAATATTTGTATTTCGTGTTGATGCTTTTGGCTTCTGTTTTGTTTGTGAAATTCCCACCAAGAAGGTTGTGGTAAAAGACTTTCATGTATACGCCTCTCTCGATGAAGCAAAATTCTCGATACCCAATTTTGAATGTTTTGAACTCTAACAATGGATTTCATAAATATTTCATGAAAAATGATCTGAAAAAATTGACAAAAATTGATTTTACATTTCGAATCCAAAATGAAAGTATTTCATATGAATATTGACAATATTAGTAATAATAGCTCATATAAACAGTATATTTTTATTCTAAGATAATGATAAACGCAATAAACTCAAAATTCATTTTGATGAAATAGTTTTGTATACAAGAATGTAATATCTTGTATTTATCTTCAATTACTTTAACCCATAGACTTACTATATCGACCTTTGAATCATTTGATGGAATTTTACCGGTATAATCCCATTTTTCGCCTACGTATCCAATAGTAAAAAACCAATCTTCGCCACCAGGGCATCCATCAATAAGGTTTGTTGAATTACTCAAGGTAAGCCCACCCCAAACGCAATAAGAATCTTTTCGATCTGCTAAAATTGTAATGTTATTGTAGCCTTTGACTTTGTAATGATTGTTGGTAGTCCATTTCTTCGGTTCATTTAAAGGACTGTTGCTTTGTTGCCAGATGTTGTACAGATTTATTTCTGGATAGAAAAGAGCAAACGTAAATTTTCTGTCATTATCTCGGAATTCGTCATTTATCTCATTTAAGATAGAGTATTTATATTGGGAATTTATATATTTTGCTTGATCTTTGTTTGCAAAGACACCACCAAGCATATTGTGGTAGAACACTTTCATGTATATGTTCCTTCCAATGTACATGAGTTCTCGATTCCCAATTTTGAATGTTTTGAATCCTAACAATGGCAATAATCAAATTTCATATTCAAATGAGCGGAAAAATCTGACAAAATTTCAACATGCTAGAATATTTTATTGGAGAAAAAATGAGGATAGTTGTGCTATGCTATTAACAATCTATGATATCTATGAGTTAAAGGTATGTTTTTATTTATAGATAAGTATAAATACAAGATATTCAAGGTTCATTTTGTTGCAATAGTTAACTTTGCAAGTTTGTATAATTTGGTATTTATCATTGATTACTTTTACCCATAAACTTACGATACTAACACCTTTATTGTTAGACGGTATTAAATGAACGGAATCCCATATCCTACCGACGTATCCGATAGTAAAATACCAATCCTCTCCTCCAGGACAACCATCAAGTAAGTTTTCTGTGTGACTAAGAATAAGCCCACCCCAAACGCAATAAGAATCTTTTCGATCTGCTAATATCGTAATGTTTCTGTAGCCTTCTACTTTGTAGAATACATTATTGGTTTGATTCTTAGTTTCGTTGAGAGGATTATTAGTTTGTTGCCAAATGTTGTACAAGTTGAGTTCAGGATAAACAAGTGCAAATGTGAATTTATTGTCGTAGTCGCGGAATTCGTCATCAATTTCTGTTAAGATAGAATATTTGTATTTCGTGTTGATGCTTTTGGCTTCTGTTTTGTTTGTGAAATTCCCACCAAGAAGGTTGTGGTAAAAGACTTTCATGTATACGCCTCTCTCGATGAAGCAAAATTCTCGATACCCAATTTTGAATGTTTTGAACTCTAACAATGGATTTCATAAATATTTCATGAAAAATGATCTGAAAAAATTGACAAAAATTGATTTTACATTTCGAATCCAAAATGAAAGTATTTCATATGAATATTGACAATATTAGTAATAATAGCTCATATAAACAGTATATTTTTATTCTAAGATAATGATAAACGCAATAAACTCAAAATTCATTTTGATGAAATAGTTTTGTATACAAGAATGTAATATCTTGTATTTATCTTCAATTACTTTAACCCATAAGCTCACAATGTTGACCTTTGAATCATTTGAAGGAATTTTATTTCTAACATAGTTCCATTCAGTACCGACATATCCAATAGTAAAATACCAGTCTTTTCCACCTGGGCATCCATCTATCAAGTTCTCTGTGTGGCTCAGAGCAAGACCACCCCAAACGCAATAAGAATCTTGTCGATCTGCTAAAATTGTAAGGTTTTGATAACCAGCAACCTTGTAGTGATTGTTATTGGTCCATTTCTTCGGTTCATTTAAAGGACTGTTGCTTTGTTGCCAGATGTTGTACAGATTTATTTCTGGATAGAAAAGAGCAAACGTAAATTTTCTGTCATTATCTCGGAATTCGTCATTTATCTCATTTAAGATAGAGTATTTATATTGGGAATTTATATATTTTGCTTGATCTTTGTTTGCAAAGACACCACCAAGCATATTGTGGTAGAACACTTTCATGTATATGTTCCTTCCAATGTACATGAGTTCTCGATTCCCAATTTTGAATGTTTTGAATCCTAGCAGCTAAACGATGATAAAATCATGAAATGATCGGAAAAATCCTGATAAGAATAAATAAAAGATATTTAAAGTTTATTAAATTGCAAAATTTGACATTGCAAGTTTGCATAACCTGGTATTTGTCATTGATAACCTTTACCCACAGACTCACAATATCAACACCTTGGTTGTTAGAAGGTATTTTTGGATAGCCATTCCAAGTTGTTCCAACGTATCCAATAGTAAAGAACCAAGTACTGCCTCCAGGACAACCATCAATCAAGTTATCTGTAGAGCTAAGGGTAAGGCCGCCCCATTCACATTGAGTTTCGTTTCTATCAGCTAAAATTGTAATGTTATTGTAGCCTTCAACTCTGTAATGTATATTGTTATCCGATTTTTCAGATTCATTAAGTGGATTATTAGTTTGTTGCCAAATGTTGTACAAATTTAACTCGGGATTTAAGAGAGCAAACGTAAATTTATTGTCATAATCTCGAAAGTCATCGTTGATCTCAGTGAGAATAGAATATTTGTATTTAGTGTTGATGTTTTTAGCTTCTGTTTTGTTGGCGAAAACTCCGCCAAGAAGATTGTGGTAGAATACTTTCATGTATATACTTCTTCCAACATACATGAGTTCTCGATCGCCAACTTTGAATGTTTTGAATCCTAACAATGATGATGCTTAATTTTCATAAAAAAATGATCGGGAAAAATGACAAAAATGGCAAAAATTTTTTGTAAAAAAATGATATGATATTTACACATAGAAAAATGCAATTATCCAAATATGAAATTATGATGTCACTTTTATATGTACGTTTGAAATATTTTGATGAAGAAAAGTGCTCGTCGCGTACTAAAATCATTCCCTGAGATTAACGGACTCGTTTTCGGAAGCTGTATTGGTTTTGGCCACTTCTCACATGTATATGATGGAACATATTTTGGCCAGCCAGCTGCAATAAAAATTATCGAACGAGGAAGTGAAGCAATCACAGAGTTAGAGATAGAACTTCTTATGGCATTGAAAGGTTCTCCAAATACTATACAGTTAATTCAACGTTTCGAAGAAGAAAACACAATATTAGTGTTTGAATTTATCAATTCCGTTCCAATGGAGAATCTTTTTACACATAATAGCCATTCACGTTTTAGAAGAATTCTTAGAGGCTTACTTACTGCTGTTGCTTCAGCTCACAGCAAAGGAATTGTCCATAGAGATATTAAATTAGGAAATATTATGATAATGCCGCATTTCTCCAATGTTAAACTAATTGACTGGGGATGTGGTGTCCGAGTATCATCTGACATGTCTCCAAAAGCCGGTTCTCGTACTTGCAGATCTCCTGAAATGCTTTTAGGAGAAAAGAACTACGGATTCGGATGCGATACATGGGCAGTTGGAATATTTATCTTATTTGTTTTGAGTCGAGGAAATATTCCGTGGAAAGCAAATTCAACTAATGATCTTTTAGTTAAAATGTCGAACTACTTCGGACTTACACCTTTCAAAAACCTCGCCAAAAAGTACAGACTTGAAATTCCTCCAGAAGTTGAAACGATGATGTCTCCATCTCCGATTTACAAGATTAGCGACATATACCACTCATCAATGACATGGCTTATTACACCAGATCTTACCTCATTGATGATGGAATTGTTGCAATTCGATCCAAGAAGAAGGATTTCAGCTGCAAAAGCTTTGGAGCATCCTTACTTCACAGCACCTAGCGAATCCAAGTAATTGCTATGTATTTTTATTTATTTTTGTTTGTTCATATATAAAATTGTATATATTGGTTTATTTTTACTATCCATTATTGGTAATGATCATAGGTCAAATAGTTCTTTTAATATTGTGAGAGAGATCAGATGAAAATTATCGGCTCGAATAGAGATGAGAAATTGAATAATATGCATAAAGGAGTGGAATGTTTTAATCAATATTCTGTGCTTCTATATTCACTCCAATATAGATGAAATGTAAATCAATGTCAAAATGGAGAAATAAATGGAGAAAATTTCCTTAATCATTTGATTCTTTACTTCCTCCTATATGGATGAGGTATTGAACAATTCCAAGATGTACATTTGATGATGCAAAAAGAGTGGAGTATTTCCATCTTTATCTTTTGCCTTTTTATTTGCTCCAGCAGGTAAAAGATAATTATTTAATGATGCACAAATAAGCGGAGTCAATTCATCAAAATTCTTTGATTCTTTATTTGCTCCAATAGATATGTGATAATAAACTATGTCAAGATGGTCATTAGCATATTTCACATGTTATTGAAGAGTATCTTCAACCAATTCTACCAAAATCCTTTTTGTTTTGTTATGCTTTGTTGAAAAATATATCTTCTTAAGTTTTGGACCAAAAAATTTAAGAAATTTAAATAACGCATTCATGGATAATAAATATTTATAAGTTAATCAAAAAAATAAAAACAATAGATAATAAAATTTCTAATATCCTCTTGGAACTGCTCCAACCATAGGGTTCATGTATAAGTTTGGATTTGGCTTTTGTGGTTTCATAGGTGGGAGATGAACCATTTGAGGTGGTGGCTGACTATTTATCTGATTTGGATACTGTGGTGGATAAGGAGCGTTGTAAGGAGGATATTGTGGTTGTGGGAAACTCTGGAATTGAGGGTTGACTCTTGGAATTGCTCCTGCCATCGGATTGTAGTAATTTGGCTGTTGTGGAGGAGGTCTGTGTGGTTGTGAGTTATATTGTGGGGGAGCGTAAGGTTGCATTGGCTGAGGATACATAGGAGGTGATAGCTGTGGTAGCTGATTCCCAAAATTCATCTTTGGAGGAGGTAATGAATTTATATTTGACGGAACATTGGGATATTGTGGTGGATACTGGGGAGGATATGGTTGCTGGTAAGGAGGATTGAACTGTTGTACCGGTTGCGGCTGCATATATTGGGGATTTGGTATTTGTGGATATTGTGGTGGATTTGGATAACCCGGAGCCTGAGATGGATATGGTAGTGAGCTTGGTCCCATTTGCTGCATGTATTGGGTCTGTTGGGCAAAATTATTGTTGTTATTATTATTTTGTACGGGTATTGTTGGGTTATGAGGTGAACTAATGTGCTGGACATTATTAACTGGTCTGTTATCATTAGGAACGTTTGTTTCATTGGAGTTTGAAGAGTCAGAGATAATTTTCTTTGCTTTTGAGAAGATTCCACCTTTATTTAGTGGTGGTAAGGCGGACTTCTTGGCATTTTGAGGCTTAGGACCTGAATAAATTGAAAAGGGAGGATGATCTTTTGGACACATCTGGAACATTAAGTGAATTCTTCCTCCTTTGTCTAAACCGCTGAATGGCTTCATGCCAAACCATTTATCGATAATCTCTCCGAACTCATAATCTGTAATAATTAGGACAAGGTTAGAAATAGGTTTATCTTTTGTAAAATTATCCGCATTATATAGAACTACTTGGACCATAATATCTTCATATTGAGGCATTACGAACTGTAAATCTTTATTCCAGGATGGACGCCTAGAATTTCTTGAAGAATTAGTTTTTTGAGAATTCTGAACCCTTCCAAATGTTACTACAGCGTATGTATTACTATCGCTATCCGGGTCTGAGATTGGAATGTCTTCAGCCTCGATAACTCGGATGTTAAAAAGCATTCAGAATTTAAAAAAAAATTTTTCAGTGTAACGTTCATAAAACTTTCAAAAATTTCGCCCGAGAAATCTATATTACTTAATGACAGATATTTCTTAATAATGCTAAAACAATTCGATTTTATCGATGATTTATGTTCCAATTTTGAGAATTTATAATTTTTTTTAAAAAATAAGATGCAAAAATGCAATTTCGAGGAAAGCATGCTATACCCGGGATGAAACGTTTGGGTTCGTGATGTTAATTTCGAGAAATGACACTTATCTTTTTAAAAAATATTCAACAAAAACATTTCTTTTAAATGATAGATGAAATCTTCACTGCCAGTTGATGGTATATATGTTTCCTCTTGATCATCATTTCATTTATAAAATAAAAATTTTAACTTATTTTTTTTCTGTAGATCTGCTAATGATAGGATATTCTTTTTGATTGTGGAATTGATGCAATTCATGTTGTGAACGAACTAATGGCAGTCTAAGAGAGATTGGAAGACGATGAAGCATTGATCTCTTATTAGACTACTAAATTCAATTAGGACATAAATTGCCGTATGTTGAAAAGCAACATTGTTATTTGCCAAGGGATGATTGTGTATTTTGAGATAAAATTTTCACGCAAATATGCAAAATATTAAAATTTAGGGTCAAAAATTATAAACCGTGTGCAAAGGTAATATATTTATGAAATGAGGAGTCCATAAAAAGAATGAAAATTATTTTTTCAAAATGAGGAAATATGTATTTTCTATATTGATCTTGGATTCAACTTCTGCATGCAAATATAATGAGATCAAAATTTGTTATTTAAAATGTTTGTTGGCAGAGAATAAAGAAAAATGCCGATAGGTTTTTTTACTCTGAAAAAATAAATGAATAAAATTATATCGTCAATTTTAAATTAAGTCAATCTCCGAGAGAATTCTCATCTACTACTAAAGGATAGTAAATTTCTTTGTTGGTCATTTTCCGAAAAAATATTTCGGAAGTTTGAATTGTTTACATCTCTCAAAAGTGAAAAAATGGATAAAAATGGAGTTTTAATTATTACAATATATAGTATGATATAAAAATCGCTAGAAATTGAATGATTGATTTTGAATATGACAAATTTTTCTGTTTGGTATTCAAAATCTATGTAGAAGAATTTTGGGAAAGGGTGCTGGTATTTTTTGAGATATAACATTATAGGAGCTGGATAATCAATGATCTCTAATGTGAGCGTTCAAATTGCAGGATTTTGCTCCAATTTTTAATTTCTAAAAAACAAAAATATAAAACAAAATGGTATTGGAAAATCAATTGAAATATATCGAAATGCTCTATAGTTGGACATAATAACTTTGATGGTGAAACAATAATTAACAATCAAAAAAAATATTTTAGATTGGAATTCTTACAAGTTTAATATTTTATGGTATGAATGTTAATATTGCCATGCATTATTTGTCAATTTTAATCAAAATTTTTGATTTTTTATTAATTTCTATTATTTTGCTATCTTTAACCTAATAGAGATACAATAATTAACATAATAGAACAAAAACATATTCTATAATTTTCTTTTATTGTTATTAAAATTTGACAAGAATTTTGAAATGAATTTCAATTTTTTTCAAAATTTAAAAATATAAGATATTAGAAAATATAGTTTATCTTCAAATATTTGTTTTTTAATTCTTTACCGAAATTGTAAATTTTTCAAAAGTTTCAATCCTCTTTCAAAATCACTTTCTTAAATTCATATTCAGTAGAAAACACTTGAAATATTGTATCTGCTTGTGCTCCACATATTTTTATTCCAAATTTGTCAGCTGATATTATTTTAAAATTAATTGGGATATTACTCTATGTGATTAAATCTAAATAGCTTTTTTCTTTATCAAATTTATTCAAAAGTCATTTAAAATTCAATCTCAATAAATTTGAATTATATTCAATATTAGATGAATTTCTTCAAACCCGAATCTATAAGATGTATTCAATAAGATTTATACTTTAAACTTTATCGGCTCAAAAATAGTTTTTTATATAACTCTCATCTTTCTAGAATGGATGCTGTAGAAACTAAGTCTGAACCTTCTAAAACTCAAAGGCAAAAGTTTTCCCATGATGAAGATCAAAAATTAATCAAGTTTGTTGCAATTTATGGTAATCGAGCATGGAAAAAGATTGCAAAGGAAATGAAAACTCGATCTACGCGGCAATGTCGTGAACGATATATCAACTATTTATCACCAAATCTGAAAAATGGCCCGTGGACTTCACAAGAAGATTCTTTCTTAATTTCGAAAGTAAAGGAAATGGGGCCTTGTTGGTCGAAAATAGTTAAATTCTTTCCAACCAGATCAGATGTAAATATTAAAAATAGGTATGCTTTATTTGTTTCAAAAGGGAAAGCACCTTTAATCAAAACCAAACAACATACCATGCAAAAAAGTTCTATTAGTGCTAAAGTACCTGATGAATCTACAAAATTATCGTTGAATATATCTAATTTGGATGAAGAAGTTGATCAAATATGGGACGATAAAATATTTTCAAATGAATTTGCAATGGGTGATCTTGAAACAATGAATTTTGATACATAAAATTTATTTTTTATCAAATATTTTAGTTTTTGAAATTTTTCATTAGAATCCTCATTCATTCGTGATGTATATATCATTGCTAAACTACCATAATTTGCTTTATTCCAATAAAATCAGAATTTTGAACTTTTTTTTCTCAAAAAAATCATAATTTTTGGAATTGATGGTGTTTTAGGCTCGGATGTTTATAAGCCGAATTAATCTATTTTAGATGCTTAAAAAATTAATTAACTTTTTGACTTAATTTGATCATATTTTTATTATTCAATTTTCCAAATATTGGTATTTTGCTGAAACTCCGAAATAAATCACAAGTTCATTGTTTGGAAAACTATTTAAATGAATCAAATCATGATTTTAATACCATACCGATTAATTTTTTTGTAAACTTTTCGGACGGTTATGGCCTTTCCTTTTGCTCATGTCCGCTGAACAACCAGTCGAACAAGTTGAACAAGTTGAAGTTGAAGAGACACAGTCCGCCCACTTCGCTCCACGTGCTACATTCGTTGGCCACAACGCTGCTATCGAATCCATCGAAGTTGATGGCGAGCACAACGTCCTCGTTTCCGCTTCCCGCGATAAGACAGCTCTTGTCTGGAAGCTCAACCGCACACAGGAACAGTGGGCTACACCATTCACACGCCTTGTTGGCCACAACCACTTCGTCTCCGATGTTTCCCTTTCCCGCGATGCTTCCCACCTTCTTACATCCTCCTGGGATAACACACTCCGTCTTTGGGACCTCGCTACACGCACAACAAAGAAGCTCTTCCTTGGCCACAAGAAGGATGTCTTAGGTGTCACATTCTCACCATGCAACCGCCGTATCATCTCTGTCGGCCGTGATAACCAAGTCAAGATCTGGAACATCCTTGGTGAAAACAAGGCTGAACTCCAGTGCTCTTCCTGGGTTACATCTGTTGCCTGCGCTCCAATGGCTGATGAGAACTCCCCACTCGTCATCGCCGTCGGCTGCTGGGATGGCAAGGTCTACATCTGGTCCATCGAGAAGGAGGCCAAGCTCATCAAGGAGTTCAAGGCTCACGATGGCCGCTGCACATCTGTTGACTTCACACCAGATGGCAAGTGGGTCATCACAGGTGGTTCAGACCGCAAGGTTGTCATGTGGCTCACAGAGAACGGTGCTAAGACAATCTCCTTCACAGCCCCATCTCCAGTCCACGCCGTCGCTGCCTGCCCAACACAGGCTTGGATCTGCGCTGCTACATACGAAGGCATCGCTGTTTGGGATATCGGTGCTAAGCAACAGATCGACCTTGTCCAGCCAAACTTCAAGCGCGAGGGCAAGCGCAATGCCGGCCGCACACCAGACTGCACATGCCTTACATGGGCCGCCGATGGCTCCGTCCTTTACTCTGGCTACAACGACGGCTCCATCCGTGCTTGGGAAGTCAAGTCTGCATAAACAAACTTATTTTTTTTTTCATTTTACTGTTATTACAAATTGCAAAACAATATAAAATTTTATTTTCAATCTTCAAATGAAAATAAAATATAATAAATCTTTCAAAAAATTTATACAAACAGGTTCATCATACAACATATCCTAAATTTCGCTATCGCTATTGAACTAAATTCGATTTCTTATTATATTTTGATAAATTATTTTTGATGACTCATGAATATAAAGATATAATTTGGCACTTAAAGCTTTTGGATTCAGTTTTGCTGAGATATGACGTTTCTCATACATTTTCACCGTTTCATATGAATTCATTCTAATAATATTGTGAGTAATCTCAATTTTTTGGTGTTAAGATCGCATAAAACTATTTTTTGTATTTTAAGTGAAACATTTTATTCTATGTTGAACACACACGGTTTCGAATATATAATTTAAAAGCCGCCTGTGCATAAATTTTGTTAGCTCTAAAATACCATTTTCAAAGGTTACAATATTGCTTTCATATAAGGAAAATATATTCGTTACACGCACCAGTCTATGCAGTCACATTTTACTACAGACTCTTTCCTCTTAAGCTCTTTGGATAGCAAGATAAAAATACTCAAAATAAAGATTATTATATAAAGTATGATAAAGACATTATCAATTGGTACAAGGCTTTATATACGAAATACTTAATTATGTTTACAGGATAATATCGGACTTCTAATCATTTCTTGGGTGCTTTTTGAGGACTTCAAGAGTTTCTTTGTTACTTAGATATTTTGCAAAATCATCTGCTGTTTCATTATTGCTGTTTTTAATATTTCTGTTACAACCTCGGGAATTCAAGAAATCGACAATTTCATAGCTATTATAATAAACTGCATAAATAAGAGGTGACCAACCATCATCATCACATAAATCTATGTCAACTCCAAGATCAAGAAGCATTTTAACAATTTCTAAATTATTACATTCAGCAGCTGAATGAATAATATTTTTATGCGATAATGATTCATCGTTTATTAGATTAATATCAAAGGGATATCCATTGCAATGCTCGAAGAACATGTTATAAATATAATCAACAAGTTCTGTTAAAAAGAAATAGGGAGAAATTGTAAATAATCTTGATAAATAATAATAATCATTTTTGTTTTTGTCAATATCTATGAAAAACAATCTATAATTGTTATATTGATATAGATATTTAATGTCATAAGTCAAATCAGTATTATTTTTCAAGAAAATAACTAAATCAATGTTATGAGAAATAATTGAATTAATCAAACAATTATTATTGAACTGGAAACCAGATGCATTGATTATCTCTGTGAGAATATCTTTGTTTCTTCCTAGAAAACTCAATTCCATGCATTTTTCAGTGATTTTTGCTCCATTTGAAATCAAAAACTTGAAAATTTTCTGGGATCCATAATAAGAACAATATTCGATTAAATTTCTTTGTACGTATTTACTAAGAGCAAAATGTGCATTAATATCAAAGTTTTCACACCGAGCTAGCTTTCGAAACTCTTCAATGTCACCAGACATGATTGATTGCATGATTTCATTGTCTTTGAATGGATGCAATATTTCTTCAATTTCTAGATTTTTATATGAGTGTATTGTCCAGCCGAAATTATATTGTTTGCAAAGAAGTGCTTTAAATCTGGAAGAAAAATCAGAAGGTTTAAGAAAAGGTGTATTAATTTCGTATATTTTTTTAGCAAGTTCCCAATAAACCGGCAATGCAATTTCGTGGTACAGTGATGCATTACTAAGAGATTTTATAATGTAACTTGTAGGAATTTTATGTTTTTCAATTAATATATCTTGGATTTTCTGAAATAATGATTCAATATCTTGTTCGACACTAAGGGTATACAAGGTATCATAAAGATCTGCACAATCTTGAAACTTTTCCATTAATTCATTATAAACTTTTAGAGGTTGATCTTTCGATTCCATTAACAATTAAGTGAAATGACAAATAGTCAATCAAACACCATTTACATATCAATGGAAGTGTATCTTATACTGGTTACTCCTATCAGAATTGAAATTTTAAAAATATTATTTCAATCATATTAACTATTATAATATAAAGTACTATGAATACTAAGCGAAATCTATATGAACTTTATCATAGTCAACTTATTTCAAGAGTATTTTTCTTTGCATGATTAGTTATGCTGTAAGATGTATGCATTAACTGATTAACTTCTTCAGAATATGTTGAAAATCTTCAAAGCCATGTTATGCCAAATGATTTTTCCAAGTAATATAATGAGAATAAAAAATAAAGAGAGTTTGAAGTTATTCAACAGTGAAAAATCAGGTTTTTACTTTTCAAAAACATAGTCATCAAAATTAAATTCATCCCAGCTTTCAACAGTACGAGTATCAGTTAATTCGTATTGTTTGAAGCTTTCTTGGATGTTTGAATTATCAGCGTGAAGCATAACAGCATTCATTCCAGCTCTCTTTGCAGCAACACAGCCAAGATAAGCATCTTCAAAAATAAGAACGTTTTCTGGCTTGATATCGCCTCCAATTCCTTGTAAGGCGCGTAAGAAGACAGCAGGATTTGGTTTTCCTTCTTTAACATCACTTCCAGTTACTTTGGCCTTGAAATTCTTGAAAAATTCAGCGTGTTTTGCTGTTTTGAGTTCAAATGCGTCTTCTGGAGTACTTGTTCCAATTGCCATTGGAATTCCCATATCATGTAACTTATTTACAATTCTTTTTATGCCTTTTACGAGCGGACAGTTCTTTAATCTTTCATTAAGAATGGCATCTCTAGCAGCAAAGTATCCTTGAGCATTACCGAAGTGTTTATACTTTTGTGCCATGATTTCTGCAACTTCTGTATCAAGACGACCATTAAGTGTTGCTTTAAACTCTGGAGTGAATTTATCTTTTGCAACTTCTTCCATTGTTGACCAATAAATTGGCATACTATCCATTACTGTACCATCAAGATCGAATATACATGCTTTGATGATCTTCTTAGCCATGTTTTATGATAGAAAATGAAGTGTTAGTATTGAATGAAAATTTTTATCGGTTTTTTCTTCAGAATTTTTGATGGGGCTTTGGTCAGGAATTGAACTCTTTTCAATTCACGATAAGTCTTTATCGCTTTTGAAAATAATATCAGCAATAATATTGTAATTGTTTTAAATGAAATTTCTAAAATAATTCGCTTGGCTGTCAAAAATTGGTTTATAAAATTTATAGATAAAGGATTCAAATTATATGAAATAATTTGATATAAACCATAATAAGATCAGTTGCTAAGCATTAGTACAATACATTCAATGATTTTAATTCTTAATTAGATAAAAAAAATTGTTATTTTGTTATATTGATATATACTAACTATATCAAATCAACATACATGTATCAAGGGAGCATTCTATATCATATACATATTCATATATGAATTCAATTTTAATAATCATTATTCACAGACACAAATATGCATGGATGAATATCCATTTTAACGAATGCTCATAATGAAAATTTTCTCATTTCCAATGTTTTTTCTGAAATCATTTGAGAGAGTCTTCAAATTTTGTCAGACCAAAGAAACAAATAGAATTAAAATTACATAACGAACGTTTCCAACAATAAGTAAAGTGATTTGTAATTTTGAATGCTTTACGAACATTTTGAATATTTTATTTGATGGAAGTCAAATCAATCAGGCTAAATGTTTCAGATCTTGAAAAAGAAGTAGCATTTTTCACAAACTTTTTGGATGTTAAGGAAAAATCAATTATTGATGGCAAAGCTACTCTCAGATTTGAAAATAGAATTGAATTAATTTTAGTTTATGTTGAAAATAAAGGAAAGGATGAAAGACCTAATCAAATGTTTTATAAAGGTATCCATCATATTGCTTTTAGCGTAGGAAGTGAATCAAAAGTTGACGAAATTACAGCCAAAGTTAAAGCTAGTGGATATACAGTAATTTCTGGCCCAAGAAGAACAGATGATGGCTATTATGAAAGTGCATTTTATGACGATGAAAAGAATCAAATCGAGATTACAGTTTAAATATATTGTATCTAAAAATGCTTTTTATTACTTTAATATATTGTATTTTACTAAATAGTCATTATTGAATAAACAATGAATTTTTTATTTAACAAATAAGTTCAATTTTGTATCCATTTGGATCATAAACAATTGTATTATCTCCTGTGTTTTCGACATTAAATCCATCATTGCTTAAATTGGCCGCAATTTGCTTCTTTCTTTCAGGATCAGATATTTTGATTGCAAAAGAAACAAATCCAATATCATCACCAATATCATTGCGATCAACACTTTCTGCACGATTCATCAATTCTATTCTTGATCCATTTTCGAGAGTAACAAAGTAACTTCTAAATCCAGTCTTTGGATTATGATAACCATCATTGGATGTTGCATTGAAGTACTTAACATAAAAGTCTCTAGATGCAATTAAGTCCTTTACGTACACACCAATGTGATCAATTTTCATTTAATATGATTCTGTCAAATTTTGATTTTGAAAGAAAATTTATTTGGTCGAATAAAATTTACATCCTTTCAAATTATTAATATCCAGATATTGATATCCTCATATATTTTTCTTTTCAAATTCAGAGATGTAAACTATTGAAAATAAAACTATAAAGACACTTTTTGGAAGAGTATAAAGGAATGACGGAAATAAATAATTGTAAAGCCATATAATTCGAAAAGAATCATGCAGATGGATTTGTTTATCAACCTATTGCAATATAAAGAGTCGATTGTCATTTCTTTTGAAATAGATTTCACATTTTGTTTTAAATCGACCATTTTATAAGATGACTACAAAATATGACTTTAAATAATAACAGCAAGCCAGTATTTCATCGAATGTTCATCTTGGACAATACGTTCCTCACAAGTTTGGAAATTTAATACAACATGAGCACATTTGCTTCATATTAGTTCTGTGCAGTTTATTTTATTTTTTTGAATTGTTTTTCAAAAATTCGGTAAATTTTGAATTAATTTAAAAATTGTTAAAGTTTTCTCTTTTAGCTCCTTTATCATTTCATATTGCTTTCTTTCAAAATTTCATTTTGATGGGTTGTGAAAAGATTCACAGTGAATTATTGAGACAATTGATAGTGAAAAGGCATCATATTTGTGATCAGAAGTTCATCGTTTTCTCTATTTAAATCTCGTAAAAATTGAATGCCATATAGAATTTACAATATTCAATTATTCAATGTATCTACAAATGGATTGAGTGAGTTCTTTCTGGAGAAAAAAACAATTTTGAAAAACAAATGTTGCATTCCATTATATAATCATATTTTATCATTTTATGGTGTCAGATATTGAAAAATCATTATTTTTTACATAATTTTTCATGGCTTGGACGATTCCTAATCCATATATATGTGCCCTTATATTGGCTATGGGAGCTATCAATGTTGGCTTCGGCATGGTTTACCCTAGCTTTACGACCAACGAAGTTGTTGAAGAATTTAATTTAAATTCAACAGAAAAACTATTCTTTAACATTGGCGGACTACTGTGCGCCTCATTCTGCTCCATGTTTATCAATCCTTTCGTTGTCGCCTATGGCAAAAGAAAAGCCGGTTTTTGTGCAGCTTTATATGCATCCATAACATGGATTATCCTTGGATTAACAGAGAAGAAATGAATGTTGTTCACGTTCAGGTGCATGTCATGCTCATCCATCGGTCTGTACACCACATTTGTTTCTCCATTTTTAGCCGAAATTGCTCCAGATAACAAGAAGTACTTCTTTGGCTTCATCAATCAGATTGCTAATGCCATTGGTTTCCTCACCGTTACAATCATTGGCGCTCAACTCAATAACTTCAGAAAAGTTGCGTTCATTTGCTCAGTTCCAAACATTGTTCTCTGCATTGGTATTCTTTTCATCCCCGAAAAGCCACAATCAACACAGAGAGCAACAGTCTGCGCAACATGCAAGTACCACAAAGAGCTATTCATTGCTTTCTTGTTCATGTTCTTCCTCCAATTCTCTGGAATTCAGCCAGTTATGTCAAACTTAGGCGAAATATTAAACAGAGCCAATTTGGGAGACAAAGGACACAAGATGGGCATCTATGCAACAGCAACTCAGCTTGTAACAACATTAATCTTTGCTTTCATTGTTGATAAAGTCGGAAACTTCATCATGTGGGAGATTTCGGCTGCAGGTGAAATGATTGCCTTCGTTTTGATGTGCTGCCATCAGAAACTCAATCTTCCAACATGGGTTTTCCTTTTGGGATTGTTCTTACATATGTTATCATATGGTATGGGCAATGGACCAATCCCATTTGCTAGAGCAACGGTTCTTTTAGAGCCACAATTCAGATCAACAGCAATGGCCATCATCGTCGCTATCAACTGGGCTTTGACTGCAGGAATTAACGCAATCTGGCCAACATTACAAGAGAAGATGTCCCTCGGTTTCGCTTTCTTATTCTTCGCTTGCATAATGGTTCTCTCTTTGATTTTCGGTTTCATTGTTGTCAGAAATCTCGATTTGAGAGATAAGGCTGTCTTAGACAATGAAAGTGAAGAAGAAAGTAAGAAAGAGGGAAAGATGGACGATGTTTCATCTGACGATCCCTTGTGACTATTGCATGTTACTCTGATTGATTAGTAAAATATTTCGGTTATTCTTTTTTTTTCGATAATCATCAATGATATTTTTTATTTATTTATTCAAGAGTTGATCTAGATAATGCTAACAGTAAAATAGCGTATATTTTTTTTTGTGACAATTTGATGCGATTAAATCAAATTTCATTGATAATGTGTTCATCAGAAATTTTATTCCAATCACCATTTTTGAAAGGAAATCTGATCAAATTTTGCTGAGATTCCTTGGGTCAAAATATAATATTTTTGTAATTCATCATTGGTATCATTTTATCATAGTAAATGTATTCAATTGTTATTATTTTCTTATTAGACTAATTACTAAATTAAAAATATATTATCAATAATATATATATATATTTAGTGTGTGATTGATGATACTATGTTCTGCTGTTGATTTATTGAAGTTTATTTAATGGAATGAGTATGATTTTTAATATAATTGAATTTCGAAATATATTTTTTTGAAGAGGAAAGGAAGAAAGCACATATTTTTAGTATATTTAATTTGATAATTAATTTCAAATGATCCAAAATATTATATTTTATTCCTCATAAAGTTGAATACATGCGTTGTTCTTCCCTATTGAATAGAAATGGAAAGCTTATGATTTTTAAGGGAACAAACTAATTTTTTGTATTGAATCTTTTTGAAATAAAATGCTTTTTGCAGAATATAGGTGGAATTGCAAAAGTATATTAATGAAATAATTTAGATTTTTATTCAAATTACCCGTAAATCTAATTTGAACTTTCAAGCAAATGTTATGTGTTTTTTAAAAGTAAGCTTTGCTTATTTGAAACTATATGTAATTTTGCTGAAGATTTGAGTACTTGAAGAATTGAACCAAAAAAACGTTTTAACTTATAATCCATATGGAAAATATATATTTAAGAAGCATTAAATATGGGTTGGAGAATAATCGAGACGAAATATAATATGATGAAAACTGAGAGTTGTAAAAAAGACTTCAAAATTTGAAAATTGAAATTCGAACGGGTAAAAAATATAATATTAGTTTACGCAATATTTTTTATATGAATGCAATTACGAAGTGAATAATGAATTCTTTTAAACGTTTATTTTGAGAGGAACTTATGTTTTTACATATGTCTATTATCACAAAAGATTTTTTTTAGTTTCTTATTTTTTTTTAGAAAAACTCCTTTCAATTTATTAATAACATAATTAATGCAATCCTTAAAATACTAATAGCCAATAGATTCTATTTTCAAATTTTGAGCTTTTAAAATATTTTTCCTTTCAAATTACAAGCTGTATAAATTTCGGGCTTAATTGATGATACATATGGTTGCAACACTAGTCAATCATGAAGATTCAACTGAATTTTTTTGATAAATTCATTCAAAAATTGTTTTGAATTTTTTTGAGAGTAGAATCTATCATGATATATCTATTATTATTATAGCTCTCTCTTACATTTTTAATGCCCCTTTAAAATTTCAATTAATCCTTGCTTTATCGTTTCTTAATATCATCATCAGTTCATTAACCACTTCGTATACTTTGATTTTTTATTATTTTTATTGAAAATTTTGAATGTTTATTTTTTGTGAACTTGGTTATTTTGGGATATCAACGTTAGGTTTTTTTGATGCTCTTTTCTTATTCCACATCACAATAAAGAGCTGTTTGTTGATAACTGTTTTCTTCTTACAAAAATCAGTTTTGATAATCTATTCAAAAATTTCAAATTAAGTTAAATTTGAAATTTGCAATTCGCGCCACAATACCTCAAATTATGCCATATAGACTTTCCTCTATATTTTCATTATTATCTTTCAATATTTCTTTTCGATTTGATTACCTTCTAATAAAAAATTAATTAAGTATCGACATATTATATCATCATTAAATCCCGATCAATAGTTGACCTGTTTTCAAATTCTATTCAAAATATTTTTGAATTGACTCTTATGTTTTCAATTCATTTGATCGAATGGAAGAAACCCAACCAACGAGCACTGCTCTTTCCACTGAAATAGCTACAAGTGCGATGTCAAAGTACTCATGTCTCATTGATATTCCTCTTTCCTATAGAGTCATTGATTCCCTTACCTCTCTATTCAACTATTTTGACATCTATGCTCCAAGGATGCACTTCTTTCATGTTATAGTAACAGTATTTAGATTTTTCCAGTTGATGGGAGGTGCCTTCATGGCAGGAAACACAAGCTCATTCGCAAAGGGTACACTCAGCTACTCTGCAGTGAGCATTCTAACCATTTTCTTCCATGTTGTACCTTTAGAATACAGATACGGTAATGCGGTTTACATTCTCTATGCCTTCAACGGATTTTTGATACTCAATGGAATTTATTTACTAATTACTGCTTTTGTATACAAATCTACATCCAAGGTTCCAAGAGTATCATGTATTCTGCTTTCAATATTCATGGCTTTTGGTCCTTTCCTATGCCTTCCGATCATTGCATAATTCACTGCGCAGTTGATATCGGCTTTTGTAAGTGGAGCAGTTAACACACGGACACCAGAAGTTATAATGATAGTTGTTTCCATAATCGATGAAATCTTTTTCTTATGGATACTTACTAAGAGTTACTCAGTTGCTTTAGTATTTAGACCGATGTCATTTGCTTCCATTGAAGGTAGCCCTCAAACAAAACTTCTTATAACCACGATCGTAGTCACATTTGTTTCCTCATTGACATCTTACTTCGGCCCGAACCCATCAGCTGTTATGATGGGTATATCCATCATATGTTATATCTATTCCAGTACAACAGTCTTCAATTGCGGTACATACATTAACAGAAATCACCAAGTTTTGGTTTTATCCGGCTCAATCACAGGTATTGCCCTCTGCATAGCCAACTTATATATGAATTTCGATCTAAGACCATGGGGCCCAGAATTTTTCGTAGGCTTGATTGCGGTTCTCGTTGTCACTTTTGTCTGCGTAGGATTTTTCATCAAAAAGAGAGGCGTCAGAGAACTCAGATTACTCGACGAGATCGAAGAATCACAGGACATCACTCTAGTCAAGAGGAAGAACAAACTAAAACAGATACTCAGCACCGGATATTCCTTCAATCACCCATGTTGCTTGAATTTCTCCATATTCAAGTTAGCTGTCTCAGAATGGAAGGAAGCCGTTGATATCTGGGCATTGTACGCCAAGTTTGTCGCTATCTATCCCGAATCTGGCCCCATTTTAGCCTTCATTGCCCAAAATGTTGCCTCATTAAAGTCAAAGGATACGTTAGCAGACATCATTCTTAACTCCACAAGCTATGTCATCAAGACTCGTGAAACAAAATTCACCCCACAGCTCAAGAATCGCATTTCCAAGTTATCAAAACATTTTATGAAGACAAAGAACCGGCTACGAAACATCTGGGACTTAGTATTACAAGACAACATCAACGAAATGTCTAATGCTATCAAGAGAACTCAAGAAAACGTCAGCGAATGCGAAGTCGAAATTGCACATTTGACACAACAGTATCCTAACAACAGATTCGTGTTCAGACAGTACCTAATGTTCATACAGGACATAAAAGGAGATCCAATAGCCGCTAAAACCGCTCGTGAAAATTTAATAAAATTACAACGCGGAATTCCAATCATTGACGACACAGTACATGAACTAGGCATACAAGCATATCCAAATATGCCTACTGCATGTGTCGACAGCTCCGGATTGACGAAACAAATAACTGAATCTGAATCTTTGGAAGAATTAAACTTCACCGAAGAAGATGTCATGAATTTAGATGCAATAGAGCAAATCTCCAAACAAATAGATAACCACAAAGTACCTGCCATCACATTTATGTACAAATCCACTCTATTTTCTTATATTTTTGTTATTTTAATTCCTTTATTAGTTTTAATTGCAGGATTTTCATTTTACAAAGCAGAAATTGAGCAACCAATTGAGTTTATGCAAGGTATCTCTTATACCAGAACATACATGGCCATGCTAAGTGCTTTAGTAGGAAGATATTTGTTCAGAAACATCGATGATCCAAAAATTCCTGGACAAAAAATGATGGATACTTTAGATTTGATAAAAGATTTCAGTTTAGATGAATTAGGAAGTTCAACTAAAACTAGTGATATGATGAAATTCATTGCAAACAAGATATCAAGTTCAAATGCGATGATGTCACAGTTGAGATCCTTTAAATTGGGAAACAAATATACAGAACAAGTCAGAGAATTATTATTTACTACTGATCATTGTAATTTTACTTTGTATTTTAATAATACAAACAAAGTTGTTCAGCCATCTGATATTCCACAATTAAGTTATATGTTAGTTAACCATGTAGGAAAATTGCTTTCGTTTACTAATCCTGATTATTCTGTTGCAAGTCAAATGGATGCTTTGACAACAAGAAATAATAATTATTTGCCGAATAGATTAATGGGAGATTCTTTGAAGATAATGCTTCAATACCTCATGGATCAAAATAATACTTTACAGTTGGTTTTCGATATTTGTTTGTATTTCGCTTTGTGTTTTGTTATAATTATTTTCCCTTTGATTTATTATTTACAAATCCGTAAATTAAGGGAAATAGATATGAAATTTTGAGTATAATGACAACTTTACCGAAAACTGTTATTTCTACTATTTCTTCTTCATTTAAATCGAAAGATACATCATCAAATCTTTCGAGCCAAAACAGTGATGTTGATTCAAACAGACAAGAAGAATCAATCATCAAATTATTCTTCAAAGGCTTCTATAGAACTTGCAAATTTGTTTTTGTTTTTGATTATTGTTATTTTGGGTTGTTTGGCTTATTATGTTTCTATTAATTGTTATGTAACAAGTGCAAATAATTTGATATTTAACTCTTATCATATTAATTATTTGTTTGCAAGTAATACATATATGTTTAGTGTTGTTGCAAGAATTTTTAAGATTGCTTTAGCGAAAGATGATGATGTTTTTAAGGATTCTGTTGTTTCTATTGATTCCGAGATCTCAAGGATGAAAGAAACAATACCAAAGGTTGTTGAATACTTCCAGAACATTAATTTAGGTGGTTCTGATTCGAGACAAGTTCCTTTCCCTGAAATGGTTTCGATTATTGATGTTGCAAGTGAAACATTAGTTTGTCCAGGAGAACTAAAAGCTCCTGATTCTGTAACAGACTCTGTTCATTGTTTCAAATCTGATCAACAATATTATGTTGCTACTGCTTTGATATTGAAATATTATAGTATGATGCAAAAAGGAGTTTGGCCAAGTCCGAAAGACAAAGATTTACAAGATTTGTGGCAAATTGGACCAATAGAATTATTCCAAACATTCTTTGCTAAAGCAATGGCTATAATTGTTCCAACAATTATTAGTGGTATAGAGAACCAAAACAAGAGACAAATAATGTATACAAGTATCTTCTTAGTTTTAACTTTGTTGTTAACTATTGTTATAATTTTAATTGTCAAAAAAGAAGACATTCTTTTGAAGTTTTGTTTGAAATTGTTGTTGAGATGTCCTCCACAATCTTTGTTGAATAATGCAAGAGTCATGGATTTGTTGGGTGGAAATTATAATTTCACTTCTGAAGATGTTTCAGACAAACATGTTTGGTTTTCAAATGAAGTCGTCAGTCGTTTGAACGATGTAATAATTGTTTGTCAAGAAGAAACAAGCAAAATTATTACTGTTAACACTGCTTTTGAAGAAATGTTTGATATAAAACAAAGTGAAATAGAGAACAAACAATTCAAGGAATTCTTCACAGAAGAAAGATTTATGTCTGAAGATAAACTTGATAAAGTATTTTCGCAGCCAATAACTGTTGTTTTCACTGATAAAAACAAAAACAAAGTTTATCTTGAGTTCACTTCATCTTGTGTAAGTGGTCGAAGGATTTTCTCAGGATCTAATCAGACACAAAACGTTATGCATGAAAAATTAATTGCTGATGAAAAGAAGAAGTCGGATTCTATGTTGGCAAGTATTTTACCACCAGTGTTAGTTCCAAGAGTTCAAGCCGGAGAAAAGAATATTTCTTTTGCTGTTAAATCTGTCACTGTTTTATTCTTAGATGTTGTTGAATTTACTCCATGGTGTGGCTCTCATGATGCACAGTATGTCATGAGAATGTTAAATATCATGTTCAAAGAATTCGATGCAATTACAAATGCTCATAAAACAATGACAAAAATTAAATGCATCGGTGATTGTTACATGGCTGCTGGAGGTATCTTTGATGAGATCAATCAACCAGCTGTTCACGCAAAAGAAGTTGTTGATTTCGGATGTTTAGTCATCAAGAAATTGCTGGAAATCGATGAAAGTGAAAATGAATCATTGAGAATCAGAGTTGGAATAAACACAGGAGGCTCAATTGTTGCTGGTGTCATAGGAACAGAGAAACCAACATTCGAAATTCTTGGCCCTGCAATTAACATTGCACATGAAATGGAACATCACGTTGTTCCAATGAAAGTCCACATTTCTAGGCCTGTTTACGAATTGATTTACGGTCAGAGCTTCGATATCAAAGAAAGAGGTGAAATCGACGTAAAAGGCGGAAAGATGTTCACTTATCTCGTTGAGCCTTAAGATTTTTTATTTTATTTATTTGTTATAAAACTTTTTATTCATATATTTTCATTGATTAATCTTTTTATATCCAAATCATTTCATATCCATAGTCGAAAGACTTCTGAACTTTGGAGGATTAAACTTAGAAGTTTCAGGATGCGCTCATTCTTGCAAAATCATTATTTTATTTATTCTTACCCTAGAAAATTGGAATAAAAATCTTGAATTTCAAAAAAAGTTAGTCATTGATAAAATAATTTATTTACTTTATTTCAAACAAAAAACCAAGAAAGAGAATGGAAAAATAAGTTGGATAATGGAAGTAGTAAACAATACTTACAATTTTTCTATTACAGGAAGAGTTGTTGTTCTTCTCAATGGTGTATGGATTATGTTTGATGATTTCGATGCATCCATTATTGGAGTGGCCAACTTCACGAGTGGCTGAAGGAGAGTCAACTGCTTTGTCACCTCCTAATAGGATGACATTATACAAGTCAGGTGATGCGTAACTGCTTCCTCCACCACCTCCTCCTATATCTGCACCTCCTCCACCGCCAAAATAGCCACTTCCTCCGCCGCCTGAAGATCCACTTGCTCCCGTATCTGCATCGCCACCTTTCAAGTATTCCCCTCTTTTTCCAAGCGCTGGACGATTGATATACTTATCATTTGTGCCTCCAGGATGCGAACCGCCATCTCCAGGATGAATTCTAGTAGCACCCTTTCCTCGAACTTTAATTGCTTCACTTTCTTCAATTTGGAATGCTTGTCCAACTCCGTCACCAGCAAAAGGACCGCCAAAACCGCCAATAAATTCAACATTTTTTGCTGCATATTGTCCTGAGCCACCTCCAGCTCCTGAAATCAATAATAACTGTTCTCCATTTTCATCTCGTGAAATGAATGTAGCAGATCCACCAGTACAGCTTCTATCATTGTCCCTTCCAATGAAATTACTTCCACCATCAAAAGTGGATGTTGTAATGACAGTATTAGCGCACGAACCCATTTTCCCAACATGATAGTATAAAGTGATATTGTAGTCTGTAATAAATAAACCTTCAGAATAAGCACCTTTACCACCATTATTATTATAGAGAAACCCGCCTTGTGTGCCCCACAATCGAAATAACCAAGACCCCTTTGTAAGTTGAAACTGTACTGGTTGGTAATTTCTTGTTGGTTGATCGAATTTCATAATAATTTAATAACATATATGAAAATTAGATTGAAAAGATTTTGCTGGTTCAGTGACTGGCTTTTGTCCAACTTGAACAAAAAGATAAATAATCATTCCTTGATCCATATCATTGAAAAATCCAACAATATTGGAAACTTCAGATTGTAATAAATAAGGATTATCAAGTCCAACTTCTTCAATTATAGGACGATCCATGACATAAAAACCTTTTTCTTCGTCGTCAGAACCTTTTCTAAATCCATAATTATCTATCAGCATTAATTGAAGATAATGCTTCTCTCTAGATAAATTATCTGGAATGGTAAATGATCTTTGTTGTTCAAATCTTGTATTGTCAATTTCAAGAGTTTCGTTATGAATAACTTTTCCATCGAGAATATATTGCAATGAAACATCGTCATCATCATCAATCTTTATAATGAAATTAATTGAAGTATTTCTACTGAAGTATTCATTTGTAGAGAGCCATTGAACATGGAAATCTGGTATATTACTAAAACCAACATATATTGTGACCGGTTCAGACTTTCCAAGATCATCTCCACCGTTTATATCAGAGCTATCTGAAATCCATATTGTTAAAGAAAGATTTCCTTTTTGGGCTGTTGTAAATCTATGATAAAATGGTGCATTCTGATTCATTGTTCCATCAGATCTGCAAACACTATTTAATTTGATTGGTTCATCATCACCTAATTTAGCATAAGAATAAAATGTTTTGTAATCTTTGCAATCAAGTCTTCCTTCAATATACATTCCTTGTCCGCTGGCATAAGCTCTTGACAATGTTTCTAGGTTTCTAAGAACTGGCTTGTGCTTAAATGTGAAGGATAATGTTTGTTGTGAACTTTCAAGTTTGGAAACAGAATCTATAATTGAAACTTTCATCTCTTTATTTCCCCATTTCATGTCAGGAAGATTAAATTTCTTAGTAAAAGATGTTTTTGCATCACTTACTGGTGAATACATGATTGTTTCTTGAAGAGGCTTTCTATTAATTAGAATCTTGAATTCGACTGGATATTTGCATTGAATCATGCCGCTCAATTGGATTTCTGAGTTTGTTGTATAGCTTCCACTGATTTGGTTCAATTCCAAAAATGGCTTGAATGTTACTGTTAGAGATCTTGGTACTTCTTCAGATCTTACATTTTTATCTGCTGGTGTAGTAATGGCTGTTTCTTCTGTGGTGCAATAAAATTCAATAACCAATGTTCCCAATTCTGTATTACTTGGAATAGTAAATGGAACGTCAATTGTTTGACCTTCAAACACATTAGATAATTTGCTTGCAGTGGTAGTATAGTAATCATCATTGTTAAGTACATAATGGAAGTATAATCTTTTTCCATTATCATAATCATCAAATGTAACTTTTGCTGAAAGCTCTTGATTTTCATAAACGAAATTATTATTAATTTCCACATTTCTAATTGTAGGCTTGTTTCTAATTACAATTGATTTAGTCCTTTGTTCATAACTTCCATGAGTATCCATTACTACAATCTTAATTGTTGGATTTGGTGTTGAATATATCGCTTTATCTCCCAACTTGAATGTAAGAATATCAGAAATTTGATTGTTATTGCTTGTGTAACTCCAATGAGTGATATATTCATTGTTAAGATATGCAGTGATGTTACCTGAAGATTCATCTGTGATTTCATATTTAAAGCTAATATCATCGTTCTTTCCAAATACATTGGTTAACGTTGGAAAATCAATATCAATATCGGGCTTCTTTGTAATGAAAACTGTAGTTCTCCTATCAGGAGATTTGTAAAACCTTTGGGTTGTATCTTCATAATCTTCTGTATTTTGGATCCATCCAACGATTTCAAGTGAGGCTTCATTTTGTATTAAATCTAATTGAAGATTAAATGGATATGGCTCCCAATTGTAATTAAATGCTCTAAGTTTCTCTGATCTATGAACTACTCCATATTTAATTTAGGTCCAGAATAATATGTTTTTGCTAAAATCTTATCCATATTTCCTTCTTTAACATAGAAATTGAGTTCCTTTCCATCATCATGGTCGTTGAAGTCACCGTAAAAGTGAATGGTTCGATCTGATTTATCTTTAGTTTGAGTTAGAACATAGTCTTTGTTCATATTAAAAGTAGATAACTCTGGGTTATTAATTACATAGAAATCAAAAGAATCTGATCTAGATTGAATTCCATAATTGTCAATAACATAAACTGCGAAAGTATGGGCACTGTTATTACTCCAATACTTAAACCAACTTGGAATTGGTATTTCATCGCTAAATTGATCATTTTTATGATTTTGCTGAGCATCATAATTTGGTTTTGCAGTGCCTTTATCAAAATCTTCCCTTCCATCAATCATATAATGTATATCACCAGTCATATCATCTAACACAGTTAGTTGGAATCCTATTTTTGAAGTTGATGAATAGTATTTTCCTGTTTTAACTTGAAGCTTAACATCAGGAACTTTAGTACTTAGAATTGGAAATTCATACAAATTGGAGATTTGATTTGGAGGAAGAGATTTATAGTCATTACTAATCTTTTGAGAAGTTAGGAAAAATTTGATGTTATAATTTCCTGAATTAGGATATGGAAATGGACCTTCTCTTTTCTGATCTGATTCTCCTGAGCTTTGTGGTATAAGCGTTTTTAGAAGTACAACATTGTTTCCATAATCAGCATATAAGTATAATTGTTTTTCATTGTCTTGGTCATTATATGTGACATAAACATTAACATCTTTAGCTGGATCAGAGATGTTTTTCATTTCAATTTTAGTAATATATGGCTTATTTATAATTGAAAATGAGTAATTTTCAGGTTTTGATGTTGAATTGTATTCATCCTTTGCAACTATTGAAAGTACATACTTATCATTTCCTTGATACATCAATCCTGTTAGTGGAATGTTTCCATGTCCGTCTGATATTGTTATTAAAGTTTCATTTTCACCATTAAACATGTAATAGAATTTGCATTGTCCTTCATCTTTGGCACTTAATGAATATAATAAAGAAAATGAATTATTATATTCTTCTTCTGTATTTCCATTCAATAATTTAGCAGAGAGAATTGGCCTGTCTGTTAATATAAACGAAAGATTCTTGCTGAAAAATACAAGACCTTCTTGGATTGCTGTAAGAGTGCATGGTATAACTCCTTTTGTAAGACCTGAAGGGATTGACATTCTTATTTTAAACTCTTGGAGAGTACCTAATGGTTTAATGTCGTTATTAGATGATGTTCCTTTGCCATTTGCAACATCAAGTTTAAATGAAACTCTCTGTTGAAGATCCATCTCAGTAAACCAACCAATTAATTCAATATCTTCCGTTGGATCATATGTTTCTTGACTGAAGTGTACATTTTGAACATATACATCAGATTCGACTGTGAATTGAGTTTCATCATACGTGGATTCTCTTCCCAGATCATTTATTACTTTAACTTTCAATGTAAATGTTCCTGATGGGATCTTAGAAAGGCTGAAATTTGCTTTTGATGTAGCTCCATTCGATCCTATTGCTCCAAACTTAAATTCTTTAAGATCATGATGGATCATTGCTTTTCCTCTATAAACTTCAAATGAAACATTAACTGATCTTTGGGAAGTAATTGTAAACTCTAATGGAATACTTTCATTTCCTCTAAATGGTTTGCTTAATGTATCACCAGATAGTAATGAGATTGATGGTTGATCTGAACGAGTTATATTGAACTCAATTCTGTTAGATTGTAAAGTTTTTCCATCCTCTTGATATTGAAGATACATCGTGTACTTTGTATTAATTGCTCCATCTGGTGGCATTATCCAAAATCCATATCTATCCATTGAGCTTGCTGTACCTGGAAAGCTTAATAATTTTTTGAAGTCCTTAGAATCATTAATTGCATAATAAGCATCATAATTTCTGCCTTCCACAAAAATTCTACAATATGTTTCTGCTTCGATTGCACCTGTCATTCCTCCGGCAAACCCCTTCTTAGTTGCAATGAAATCAAAAGGAGTTTTCATAATAAAGAATAGCCTAATACCTAGTACAATGGCTTGTTTTCCTTGAATTCTTTTTTCATTCCATGAATATGATGAATATGAATCAACGTTTCTATCATCTGAAGCTTCGAGTACGTTTATTTCATTTACGTTGTTGAACTTCATGAAATACTTGTTTTCAGGATCAAATGTTTGACCATACCAATAGTTATCAGGTGGAATATATTTACCTTTAAAATCGCGATAATCCATTACCATTTTTTGCCAAGTCGGCGCAATTTGAACATGTTCAATAGAATACATTTTTTTATCTGACAAAGGAGTAATTCTATTATGGTTGCCATCATTACCTTTGAATGAAATATCTGTAAATGTACCAAGTTGAACTCTGGCTTCATATTCATATGTGTTAGTAATGATGTATTTAATGTAAATATCATCATCATCAGTAACATTTTCTACTTGAAGATGTACTGTAATTCCATTGTAATCGCCAGCATTTTGGTTGGCTGGATAAAAGGCTGTACCATTGACAATTAGCTTTACATAAGTTCCAAAATCATTATAAGTTAAAATTTCTGATTTTCCATTAAAAATGTATCTATAATTAAAGAAACCACATTCTTTTATGCCTGTGAAAGGGTTTGTTTGTACTACAGGGTCCTGTAAAGTTAATGATGATGCTACCAATTGTGAAAGGAAAGCAAGTATCATTTTCGGACCTTGATTATAATGATTTTCTTTGAATTTGAATTGGAAGTACTCAAATTCATTTTAATCCCGAAATTTCTGAAGATTTGTGATGTCTCACAAATTAAATTATATATTGTAACTTTATTTAAATTCAAAATGATGAATAGTCATGATAATTTATTCAAAATTCAAAAGAGTCCAAAATGTGAGGCCTGTACGTAATTGATTTTCATTGAAGTCCTAATTAAAGATCTTAAGATAAATTGGGGAGCATTTTTTCAATTTGAATAGAAAATATTAAATATTTTTAAATACAATTTTTGACAATGTGGTCTATTAATTTCAATTGATAGAACTGTAGGTAATTAAAACGGATCAATGTATTACTTTAAAAATTGAACGATTTAGAAAATTCTGCCAAAATAAATTGAGGTTAGTCGATTCAGAGAGATAATCATATTTCCCTTTAAAAATGACCAGTTACGTTTTGAGGAAGGCATAAATTATTCACTTTGGAAAATATATGGATTCATTTCTTTAATGAACCCATGCAGTATAATATTTAGAATAGCCTCTGTTGTATAATGTTTGAAGTTGACCAATTATAAATACAATCTTCTGAAAAAAAAATGAAAAATCGTCAACAACAATGTGAAACATATCCAATTGCATATTAATCAATTTAACTAGCATTAAACATTATATGAATTGTCAGAGATGCAATCAAATTTAAAAGAAATTTTGCGACGACTTTTTTTATCAATGAATAGACGACTCATTTCATTGTAACTATTCAAATAGGTTAAAACAGAAAAAATCATCTATGCTTGATTTACATTGCAATTTATTGAGTCAAAACATAAATCTGAAGAATTATATTGCAAGATTTTGGAAATTTTGTCAACAATTCATCAAATAAGATTTATTATCATTTGTGTTAGTTTTAAAAGGATTATTTAAAGTAATTCCAATCTGTTAAACTGAGTAAACATATTTGATAAATTTTGCAATTCCGCCATTAAATGACTAAAGGTTTTCTTTGGTGCATTGTAACACAATTTTTGTATGTAAAAAGATATTTGATATTATGTTGAGTTTTTAATGAAAGGTTTCTTTTTCTTGATTCGAAATTCTTATAGAAAAGGTTTTTTAGTAACAAGTTTTGGTAAGCATGTAATGTTTGTTATTTTACAACGTATGATATGCTATAAATCCAAACTTGTAAATGTTCGCAATTATTTTTTTCAAAAAATGTTTTAAAAGTCATAATTGTGCATCTATTTTCCTGTTGTTATATATCCATGTTTCTGTTTCAATGTTATTTTTTTAATGAATTTTTTCTGAGGTAATCCAATTTTTGTTTATTTTATGCGAATTTGCGTCATTGTCAAATGAACTCGATACCTTCTATTCCTCAGTTATGCCATCAGTCCTCACCAAGGCTTCCACTATCATTGGAATCCTCTTGCGATTTGCTAGAAGTTGAAAGCCCAGAAAATGATCTCGAGAAGCAAAAATTGATCTTGTTCACGCATAACAATGGACCATGAAGATTTAAGAAAACTAAGAATGACTATATTAAAGAGCTTGAGAATAATAATGTATACTTACAAAATTTAGTATTTAAATTGCAACGACAGATAACTGCGTTACAAGTCCAAAATGATACTTTACGTGATCAACTGAAATTCTTCCAAGGGAAGCTTACCAAAGCAGCTTCTTTTAGTATTGTTATTCAACCTTCAACTGTGAATATTTCATGAAAATAAGGTCGGCGTGTTTATATTAGGAATGGTTCCTTAATAGATTGTATAAAAATGATTTGTTCTTATAAATTTGTAAAGCTTGATATATTTGATTTTTCACAATCTTTTTAAAGGATAGTGATTTAAATTTGTATGTAATCAGTCATTATTGGCTGAACTATCCAATTCAAAACAAAGTAAAAAAGGAAATTTTGTTCTTTAATACGGGTATATCATATTTCTTTTAATAAATTCGATTAATTTCTACACCCTTAATGGCAAATATTGTCTGAATAGTTATTTTATCATGTTATGTTGTCTATGTATATATATATAGTCAGGAGAAAAAGGTGTAAACCGGGCAAAAAGGTGTAAACCTTGATATTTAGGAGCCAATATTAATACCAATAGTATACTTATATTGAGTATATTTGGGTAATGTGTTCAAAACAAAAACTTAAAAATTTGAATTTTTAGATACCCTCAATTTTTGACTTTTGCAACTTTTTCATGACCCCCTACCCAGGTATCTAAAATACCATTTATCGCCTGAAAAGCACCCTTAATTTATGCCAATTGACAAAATAAAGATATGTTTAGAATGCTGATATGATGGAGAGTCATGCTGCATCATTATTGGCCAGCAATATATAATATTTAAGAAATCTACGAGATTATCTGATTTCATGAAACTCAATGTATACTAAGTTTCAGACTTTGAAATTTTAACATGTTGATATGGGTACATAGGGTTTATGATTCCAGTCATTTATTTAAAAAATTACAAAAATGAATTAATATGATGTGAGTAACAATGGTAATAAACGCTTAATTACTAATATAATATTTCTTGGTAGGAATGAAATGTTTTGGTGACATTTATAGAAGTTAAGCTGAGAATCAAAAATGCAAAAATTATTTTAAATATTACAAGCATTATTTGATGTCATTGAGTTTAGAGTCGTGTAGATATATGAGTACAATATGTTATTGATGTATATATGCAATAATTGTGAAAATGAAATGTGAATCTCAAGATGAGTTGCATGTTACTGCGCTATAATTTGAATTCAATACGTACATAACATTACTAAATGTATTTTAAGATAATACAAAAAATTAAGCTTGCAAAAAGATATCGAAATGTAATTTTCATTAGATTCAAAGTTCTGAATAGATTTTGATTTTAACTATTGATGAGTTTGTCAAACCTCTATAATAATAGAATGTAGAACTAATTAAATATAATTAATAAAAAAATACAAATTTAAGTGATATTATAAGAGATATATGTGATGTTACCAATATGATATGATATTGGAGAACTGATAGAATTGTGATGTGAGACTAAATATGATTTTATTATGAATAGGAGAATAATATTAGAAGAATTTCTTGAATTTAATGTATCTGAATATGTAATTGGGCATATATTCTATATATATATTGGTAGGTTAACTAGAAATAAGAAGATGAAAGATTGTTAATGAATAATATGAGATTAAGCGAAAATATATTGTTCTAATAGATGAGTGTTGAGATCCAATATATATGAAGAGGGATATGTGAGAGGAAATATGTATATTTAATAAAATAAGCGATGAGAGAAAAAATAACAAAGATTTATATGAAATTTTGAGTATTGAAAAAGCTCGATTAGTGATTTTATGTCTGTTAAAGGAATAGATATTCTAGGAGAAAGATAAATTGAATTAAAGAAGAATAAAAAAAGTTGATTAAGATTGATAAAAATATTGAATTGTATGACAATGGAAAGAAGGAATAAATTGGTGTTGGTATGACGGTATCATTTCGGGAGACATTGCCTCTGCATGTCTCCCAGAATGAGACAATCTTCTGCAATCAGAATGTGATTGCAAAACTTTGACCGACAAGAGTGTATTGTGCACTCCTGTCGGTCGCAGTGTCTCATTCTGGGAGACATTGCCTCTGCATGTCTCCCAGAATGGAACAATGTTCCGCATTGATAACTTGAACGCGGAAGTTTGACCGACAAGAGTGTATTGTGCACTCCTGTCGGTCGCAGTGTCTCATTCTGGGAGACATTGCCTCTGCATGTCTCCCAGAATGGAACAATGTTCCGCATTGATAACTTGAACGCGGAAGTTTGACCGACAAGAGTGCATTATCCAATCTTTTTTGTCATATACCTCAACCCACAAAGACAAAACCTTACATAAAATAGGTAAACTTTGGTTTTCACTTAATAATGTTTATTTTTAATTTTTTGTTCTTTATATAACTTTTTCTTCTACTAAACTATTTTACAGACTCTACTGAGCTATCCTCACATATATACCTGTGACAATAACACATATATACTCCCTTCATATTCTGATCTCATGACATATTACAGCACAAACTATAATTATACAACATACCTCATAAAGTCTGATTTTACCCCTATCTAAGCGTTCAAAACCTATTTTCCTTAAAATTTCTCTTCAAGTTCATACTGAAACAACATCTTTTTTTGAAAATACAATTTTTTCAAAAAATGTATGAATTCAAAAGTGCATACTATATCTAGTCATTACAAAAAAAAAAAAAAAAAAAAAAAAAAAAAAGGTAGTGGGGCTTCCAGGGGCTGCGCCCCTTCTAGCCCTAAGAAATTTTGCCCAAGACCCAAGAGGAGGACCGAACCCCAGCCGACCAGCCGGTGACAAAACCAAAACCGTTGTTATTTACATCATATTAATGATGTCACTTTTAAAATGTCACTTTTTGTTTCACTTTTCACAAATTATATATGTTTTCATCCTTTGTCACTTTTCTGTCACTTTTCGGGTAAAAACATTTTTATTATTATATATAAATGAATTTTACAAAACCACCGTTACCGTTCTTTGGAAATAAGAGTAGATGTAAAGATATTATATTGAGAGAACTTAAGAAACTACCGAATGGTCTAACATTTGTAGATTTGTTCGGTGGAAGTTTCTATATATCCCATTTGTGCCATATAATATTTCCAGACTCAAAGATTATATGCAATGACTTCGACAACTATATGGACCGTCTCAAACATATTCCAGACACAAACAATATATTGAAAGAGTTAAAAGAAAAGATACCTATAGGTAAGATGGAATGTATACCATTAGATAAGAAAAATATTGTGAGAGAGGTTTTGAAAAAAGCAGAATATATAGACTGGGATAGTATATCTGCTAGACTATTATATAGTGGTTCTATAAGAGTTCATGACATTGAAACACTTATGTCAAAAGTTTTATATCTTAACTATACAAATGT